GTCTGTTTAGCTCTTTCCAAATGATTTTAAATGCAGCCATTATAGAGTAAACTTTCTTCAATTCTTTGACCACTGAGGGACTGAAGTCTCTTTCACTAAATACAGTATACATATTCACTCAAAAACAACATGTGCACACTTTGCTTGTTAGTTTGTTTACATCTGCACCACTATAAAGTCAAAATTACCTTCAAAACTAACATTATACAGAGATAAATACACACAGACTACAACAGGCATTCACAGTTGTAATAAAAAATGCCAAGTCTTTAAGTGTGAGGCACATACTGTGGAGGTGACAGAGTTCCCACCAACGTCAGCTAGAACAGAATGTCTTGACAACCAAATGACTCATAAAAAAATGAAATAAAACGGAGGAGAAACAGTGAATGAGGCGAAGGTACACTTAGTGAGCCATTCGTTACTTATGAAAAGAAAGGACCTTTACACTGAAGCAACACACACCTCACAAAAACTTTGCTGCTATTTACAGATAGACACAAACACACAGTTTAAAATAGTAAAATAAAATCCAAAAGCCTCATGAAAACTCCAAAACACACAACTCGATAAAAGTTTGGCAAACTGAATCAAATCGTGAAAACTAAAAAAAAAAAATCAACAGCACATTCCTAAAAGTTAAAAACACATTTCCACCTAATTTGGGGGAAAAGAAGAAGAAACAAAAAACAGAAACTCTGTTGTCCAGCACGCTCTGTCTGTCTTGAAGTCCACATACCTTACAGAGTTTCTGGTAGCGCGGTGAGGAGATGGCCATCCTCTGGAGCCTGTGTAGGAAGACCACCACTTTCTGCAGGGAGGTTCGGACCATGGCCATCATCTTAAGACTGCTACAGGTCTGCAGCAGCCTGCTCCCGGTCCGCATGCTAGCACTGCCCTACCCCGCTCATATTGTTCTCCCTCTCCCTCTCCCTAGCCAGCTGCCCAGACCCCAGCCAAGCTGACGCGATGTACATACACACACACACACACAAAGAGAGAGAGAAGGAAAAAAAAATAAAAAATACACACTCGCAAGCGTACTCAGCTCAGCATGCCCCCACGTTTCATCACATATACACGCTCTACACACAGTGAGCACAGGCTCAGCTCTCTCGCTCTCTCTCTCCCTTTATGAACAGTCACTGTGCCACAGCTGTCAGCATGCACACATACACACAGCACACTCACATGACGATCCAGGAGAGCAGGACAAAACAAAACACTCACTTTCTCCTCCACGCGGACATTCACACCCCCGAACGCAGAGCCAGAAGAGAATCAAACAAATCACTTGTGATGGCACCCTGCAAAGTCAGAGGAGGGTGAGGAAGGAAAGGGAAATGAAGAAGATAAAGAAGAAAGAAGAAAATGGAGAGAAGAGTGGAAAGGGATGGCAAGCTAGGAGGAAAACGGGTGTGAAAGGCATGAGTTTCACAGGAGGAGAAAAGCTGGTCGGATGCGGCTCACTTTTTTTACTGGCACTGAGTCAGAGGGGATAAAGAGAGAAAGAGAGAGAGAGCAAGAGAAGGAGAGAGAGAGAACCAGTACTCCTTTTAGACAACAGAGAGAGAAGAAGAAATGCAGGAAAGAGACACATTAAAAGTAGCAATATAAAGGATGAAAAACATTGCCTCCACCGTGAAGGAAGAATGACATTATGCAAGGTAACCAACAGATCAATGAACGAGAGACAGAGACAAAGACAGAAAGCAAGAGAGAGACGGGGACAGAGCAAGAACACACACACACACACACACACAATAGAGTTACAAAGAGGGAGGAGTCGTTTCAGGCATCAAGGGTTCCTGGAAGTAAAAGTCCCATTTATTTTCTGCACTGGCAATGTTAGTGGTTGAGAGCTGGTGCACTTCCACAGTTTGGATGTGGACGAATGACGAGTATAAAATATGATTAACAAATACATGTTGCCTCATGCTGGCTGAGCCATCTCTGTGACAACTGAACAGACTTTATTCAGTGATGAATTCTGTGAAATGCACTAGAAATCTCTGGGACAAATCCAGTTAGTGGATCTCGAGTTACATTTTGTTTTCAAGGTGGGAAGGCGCTGATCATAAGCAGAGGATTTTTGTCATCTGGTATTATCCATGTGTCTCGCCTCACTTCTTGTCCTCTCTTTAATGTTGACCATCCCTACTAAATGCCCACAAAAATAATTAAATAAAAATGTTTTCATCAAAGTTGAAATATTGTAAATCGATGGCCTTAACATAGAACGACGTACATTAATCCTGGAAGTTTATGTTGAGAAATACTGACAATGTCAGAAAATAGGAATTTAGAGCAGAAAAGATTAACCGAGAAGAACCGAGGATCATAGTGGAAAACAGCAGATAAAGACTAGAAAAAAGAAAAGTAGAGCAGGAGGAGAGAAGGTAGGAGGGCAAGATAAAAGGCTTTTAAGCATCTTTTAATGGGAGCAGAAAACAGCCAGATCATTAGAGAATAAATCTGTTGGCACTGAAGAGATGACATTAAGAGACAAAAAGGTAGGAGAATAAAGGTCTGGTAAAAGCAGAGATAGGTAGACAATCAGCACAGATCATCATAAAACAGCCCCTCAGCTTCTGCAGAGCCACTGACCACAGTACTGCACACAGGTGGGCATTTTAAACCTACTCATATTCTCTATGACTCTCTGTTTGACTTTTATTTGAAGTACTGCTGAAAAACACTCTTTTTCTCCCAAATGCAAGAAAGTGAGGATAAAAAGCACCATATCACCCAAGAGCAGCACATTCATGGTTCCCCCATAAGGATGACTCACACATTTAAAATAAGCACAAACTGACACATATACACAAACGGTGCATTCTTGTAGGCTTATACAAGGTATGGAAGAAGAAATGAGCACAAATAGATTTTCTTTAAACCAACATCTAGCTTACCTAAGCAGCCAGCTTGAATAATAATCATTTACCAGCAGGCTCATGCACAAACAGGATACTCACACATGCAGTTATTGAGAGAGGAGATCAGAGGAGCTGCCTGAAGATCCCTGTTTAGTCAAGGTTTAACTGGCTACAGCGTCTTTCTACAGAGTATCGACTCTACTTCACAAGAAATTACAAGGGAGACTGAGGGTTTTGTTGGCCAAGTGTTAATGTCACTGACAGTAGCGGGCCACAACAAAGAAGCAGTAGCAGGCAGGCACCTGTATGCCTCCGTTGTTCACATTGCTAAAACACACACACCTACAATTCTAATGCCCACAGTCACACCTGTACATGACAAACGTGAAAAAGACGGTCTGATTGTACCCGTGCACTTCATGATTGCCATTATTGCTCCACGCGTGCATGTGTGTGATGTACCAGGTGAAATGACAGCATATGTACTATGGGACTGTCGAAAATTAGTCACAGTTTATGATACTATTCATACCAAAGTAATTATCCCTTTAATGTCTCGGGCTATACAGGGCCATTACACAAGATCTTATGGATTGAATTTCTATTAAATTAACAGCTCATAATATACTCAAAATAGAAAATGCAATATAAAGCTACATATACCATAATAAAAGATTTTATTCATTTTTCTCACATTAGCACCAAGACGCAGTACAACAGTAAAACACTTTAAGGAGGAAAGTTTTTAAAAAAGGTGGTGTTATAGCCCTTTGACAGATTTTTATAAATACTGAGTGTATTTTCAACTTATCTGACATTTCATTCACCCAAATTTGTTTAGAGTTCTGTAAATCCATCTCTACAAACAGCCCAGATTCCCCTCTGTCCTCTAGAAGGCTGAAGCCAAAAAAAAACTGTGATTAAAGTAACTCGACACTGGAAAGTGGCAGAGCATTCATCATTAGTAAAAAGAAATGGTCTGTCCCTGTTTCATTAACCACCTTTCAAGACTTGAGTGCCATCCATCAATCTCAACTCCAACGTAGACGGAAAGATGGAAAAAGAGAGGCTAAAAATAAAGATCCACCGATATGCTGTTGCACCTGCATTTGAGATATTAGCCTTTGACCGATACTTAAATTAAAGTTCAAGTTACATTTACCTCATTTATCACACATTTGATCTTTGAGATGACTTTGACAAACCTTTTAGAAATAAATCCAAAAGTATGTATCCTTTAAAATGGCTTATAATGATGGATTATAAGTTACAACAACGTTGTTACAGTGCAAAATCACTGTGGCAGTGCTACAAAAGTCTCTCAGGCTTATATCCACAACAAGGTAATTAATCCTACGTGTGATCACTGAGGCCGTTCATGAGGTGATTCATCATCATTTTTCTCTACGACCTTAAATATGTGGACGCAAATGGGAGTGATAGCACTGTGGCATTCAAGCCAATAAAACCAGGATGGTTACTATTTGACTGAAGGTATTGCAGTATCTTCTCAGGGACAAGGCTAAAAGCAACAAGAAGCTTAGAAGCACACCCAGATAACAAATCATTGTACAATGGAGACAGGGTCAACATGTGTGAAACAGATCTTTCAATTTAAGCAGGGTGTAAATAAAAGAGAATAAGTAGATTATAGCCTGTTTTATCAGTTGAAAGGGTAAAGTGACATGACTGTGGGATTACACCGTTACATAAAACATAAGATGATGTGTGTCAACAGATCCCTGAGAGAAGGCCAGGGTAAATGACAAGATAGTGAGAGGAAGTGCAAATACACATATACGCACGCTTGCATTCAGATTTCTAAGCGGCATAGGACAAGAGGATCAATGATCTGCACTCAAAGTATACAACCACTCATACACCCTCTGTACCTTTAACCAGCAGCACCCACACACACCCTAACCTCAGTTCTGTTGAAGGATGTGTTAATGAAGGATGATACTGAGATAATAGGCTGGCACCTGTGAGCAGATTCCACACACACACACTCACAGTTCATCAATCAACCCTGCAGCCCTACCTCCAGTTGTCGCTGCAGCTCCTTCACGTGAGCAGAGTCCTGCGACAGGTCTTCCCTCTGTGAGGCATCAGCCAGAACGTTGACTGTAGTCTCAGCCTCCTGAAGCCATTTGAGGAAGGACTCCAGCTCCCTGAGAGACATCTGCAGGCCCTTCAGTTCACTGTCCAGCTGGGTGTGACGATCATTCGCCCTGCCAATCAACATCGATACATCAAATACATGATGTAAGATTTATGTTTAGCTGTCAGCACATGATGCAATATCAGCTCCTCAAATGATATGTACAGTATATCATCTGTGTTTTATAAGTGAACAGGACAGTTCGCATGCACCTATTGCTGATGCTGTTCCAGGTAGCACTGTGTTTATCTGCGACCTCCTTGATCCTCCTGGTGTCATCTGTAGAATACTCCCGCAGAAGATGACTGGACAGCTCATTGAAGGCCACAACAGCAGCTTGGCCTCGGCCCAGGTCTTGGAGGAAAGCCTGTGAAACGAACACCACGATGGCATTAGGATCACCATGACCCTAATAATGTGACTCAAATAGGAGTCACAGTGAAGGCGCCTGTTGGCATCGCTGCAGATATTAATTTGCCTGCACTGTTTTCTGTATATTGTTGTGGCTTGGTATCTGCTCTGAGTAAGACAAATTGCTGCGCAGGGATATTAATGGCTTATTCTCAAAACTTATTTGAAACTTTAGGCATTAAAAATACAAAGAAATTAGTTTCTACTGTTCAGCCATCTGACATTGTTAAACCTTTACTTAATCAAGCAGGTTAAATAAGACCCAACTCTTATTTTTAAAGCCAGATTACTGTTCCAAATTTAGCATTAGCAAATAAGTAATCCATATATGACACAAAAGGTTCACTCCACCTTGTTAAACGGACAATTACTCATCATTACAAGACCACACAAACCAGGAGCTGAGAGCTGTGCATCTAACATGCTGGATTCTGTTAAACTCAGTTGCCCTCTAGTGCTTTGCTACTGTAATGCATCAGACACACTCAGGGGGCAGAATCTGTTTTCAAAAACTCTCAGCCAGGCCATCGATGACATGAATCTATGAAGGTTATATGTTATTTTGTTTTATGCTCATTCTGTGCTAATATTTATTTTTTTTATTCTGCCCTTACTGTTTGGAACCACAGGAAACCTGCTGTAAAATGATTCTTGAACTGAAACAGGCCTACAACTGGTAATGCTTTTTATTGCAATGCTGTTTTTGCTGCTAGAAAATAAAGAAAGACAGACACACACACACACAGACAGACAGAAAGAAAGGTTCAAAGTGATAATGTAGAAAGATGCACTGTCCAGACTTATACTACTGCATAAATTAAAGGCCTTCCCTCAGCAGGGACAGACATGACACGCCTTGAGGATACAAGGAGGACGTTTAGCAGTGAAACTTTTCCCTAACCTTGCTGTCAGCAAGCTGTTTAGTCAGGGGATCTCTGGACTGCTGAAGAAGGCTGTGGAAATGTCCTTCACTGTGCCCAATAAAGGCCTTCACCTCCTTCCGCTGCTCCTCCCACTGGTTGCTGTGGCCAATCATGTCATCCAGCTGCTGGAGCCGTGTCTCAACACCATGCTGGGTACTGTCCCACTGACTGCATACCTTCTCCACTAGAGACAGAGACAGATACGTAGGCAGCAGGACAGGAACAAAATTGATAAGCCGCTGCTACAAGAATAAATACAAATGCTGTTACATAAAACACCACCAATCCTGGGAGTACTTCTAAAAAACATCCTCACTGATGCCTTTGGAGCAGCTAGTGTGTTTGTTTTGTTTTTTTTTACATAACGGCATCTTTGTTCAGTGGCTGTTAATTCTTTCAAATTCTCTCTGCTCTGTACATACATTTCTCCGTAATGGATGTGCGAACGTCCAGATTGGAGGTCTTGTTTTTAATGTTCTGTGCCAGGGTGAAAATGTCCTCTAACTGGGTGTGGCGCTGCTCCAAGTCACTCTTTGTCACCTGCCAGTGTGGGGAACATGTAAAAGTACATACAAACATATTCATAATAAGCGTGGAGTACATAGAATAATATTCCATTGAAAAATTGCTAATCGCACAAAAACCCCACGATTTCCCTCCCTTCCTCCTCTCCTGTCTCGGCTTCTCACCTGAAGACGTCCCATAGTGGCTCTGATCTCCTCTGTGTCCCCCACTGTGACAATATTAGACTTGAGCATCTGCATGATGAGAAGAAGCCAGTCTGCCAGTTCGGTGGCTGTCTCATTGAGGTCGGTGGGGGCCACGGCGTCTGGCGTGTGTGGGGTTTGGTGACGGGGGTCCTCGCTTGCCAGGCTCGCCATCTGTACGGCTGAGGGGACCGCAGACACTGAAGCGGGGGCAAAAAAAGGCAGGGGACTCAAGGCGAGTAATGTTGACATATATTGCTTCTTTAAAAGGAAATGATGCAATGAACATTAAAGAGGGAGCGAGGAGGTGTTGTCAGACGGCTCTCTGAGGACAGGGGGGGATCACACTCAATCATGATGAATGAGGCATCCGGGCTCACCTCAGTGTAACACAACCAAGACTTTTCCCCCTGCCTTTTATTGATTATTTCATCACACATCTTCATGCTCCAAATCAAGGTGAGCTGATAAGGAATTTTGACTTTACACCTGAGTACTTATTACCTCTGACTGAAGCACATGTTTTTTTTTTGTTGCCTGTCATATCCTGTCAATGATCATTAAGTCTCAAATATGTCACTGTCTCCCTCTCATTAAAGGTTTAACACTCCACAGTACAGTGCTGAGCCTTTTCATCTTTATGTCCCTTATGTATTATAGAGATGGAGCTGGTGATACATAAATCAGAGAAATTGTAAATTTAAATTAAGCGCGTTCCTAGACATCATTACCAAGCTGCTGGTGCTGGACGACATGCTGGTGCAGTGTCCATGGGGAGACAAGTGGCTGGAGAGACTCCCTTAGTCGGCCATCCAGGGCTTTCCAATCTGCTGCGAGCTGCTCTACCTTACTCTACACAAAGGGACACACATAATTAATAATTAAGTATAGAATACTGGCAACAGAAAGTAACAGGATTTTAATCAAACAGTCAATTAAAGTTTTATAAATTATAGGAAACAGAATTACCCAAAGTGGACTAGTGGTGCAGTGTAATTACATACTACAGTACAACTAGCAGTGGCTCTTTACCAAACCACTAAACTATGGATTCTGGGACCTTTTCTTGAGGCAACAGCTGCTGTCGTCTCTGTAGCTCTATAGAATGAGCCAACAGTTCCTCCAAGTCCTTCTTCCTGTCCATCATGGAGGTCTCCAGAGCCTAAGATGATTAGGAATTCATTTTTAATACAGCGTTTGTGTGTGTGAGACAACTGGACTTTTCCCATATAGGCGATTATACAGACTATCTACCTGTGCTTGGCCAGGATTCAGGCCTCTCGTCATAATTGTCTGGTGTGTGACGACAACCCAGTCAGTGAGTCTGTTCATCCTGTCCTGGAAATGTGCATGACTCTGCAGGTTGGCCTCCACCTCCCCCACCTTGTCCAACAGCTCATGAGTCACCTGCAGGACAAACAGGGAGGAGTAAAGGAAGTAGGGAGGAAGATAAAGACCGGAGACGGATACAGCAAATTAGGATGAAGGCTAAGGAGTATGGAGGACATAACACTGCTACCTCATGTTTGACACAAGAGGCCACCTCTGAATAAATAATAAGCCAAAAAAATGTTTCAAAAAACTGGAATATGGGCACATACAGTAGTGGTGGGATAAAAATCTTAACCTTGCTCCATTTGTGGTTGATGGCCCTCTGTTTGGAAATGTGCTCCTCTGTGATCTCAGGACTCAAACTGGGACTGGCCAGGATATGAGGAGCATGCTTGTTCAACCAACCCAGACGTTCATTCTGTGCGTCCATTTCCTCAGTAAGGGCCTGCCAGGAAAGATGCACTGACCTTTAATTTCACTCAATCTGATTTACTGACAAAATAAATGAGAGAAAAGATTACAGTGAAAGCAAGACGTAAAGCTGTGCAGTTCAACAGTGGAATGGCTGTTCCACGTAGCCACATACTAACCCTTGACTGTACTTCTCGCAACGTGTCTCCACAGTGGAAAAGTCTAGTGGAGATTGTTGTCAAAAAAAGACTATTTCACTGCACATTTTTTTCAAAATAAGAGATGTGAGAGTTCGGTTCTTCCTGTGTATGTTTCCTGGGTTTGATAAGTTTTACATGACTGAAATACAGAGAGAAACTTGAGTATACAGGGAAGCAAATGAAAAGTAAGACCAAGAAAGTCAAAGTTGACCATAAAAATAGCAGCTCTGGAACAGGAAGAGAAATCTATGTGTTGCCATGATTCACAATTAGCATTTTTTCGGTGTTGTTGTACCTTGAGTTCCTTGAGGTTTTTGTCAGTGGCGGTAACAGGAAAGGAGCTGACAGCATTTTCTGCCTGCTCCAGCCATACAGCCAGCTTCTCGCGTCTCCGCACCAGGTTTGACAGGGCTGGGTCTCCTCCAGCAAGCCTGGAGACACACACACATACATTACAGATAAGGATCTCAATTTCCTGGAAGGCCTAATCCTAAAATTTACATTTAAATTACTGTCATAGACTGATTGAGCACACTGATAATGTTAACCTGTCAAACACAGAAAAACAAAGTATAACCAAGATGTTATATAATCAAGACACAGAATGAAACATTTTCCACAATTCTTGGCATAAGATTCCAAATTTGACTATATCACCTTAATGTTTTCAGTATACAGCCTCATTTACATGCACCCTGTGTGTCTCTGTGGATTCACTACCTGTGCCGTCTGTCCAGGACGTGGCGGCTGACAGCTCTCCAACGCTGACCCAGAATGTGTAACTTTTCTTCAAGCAAGGGCCCATCAGGAGATGTCAGCTGCCCGATTATGTGCTCTCCAGAGCGGGTCAGGACAGCTAGGACAGGCTGGTGACTGGCAAGGCCTTCCTCCAGCTCCTGAAGTGAAAGAAAGTATGATGAACAGACAAAGAGAAAAACAAACAAAAAGCTTAAACCTTGGATCAATCAAACAGCATAAACTGATTCATTCAAAGCCAAATCCATCTCTCCAGGCAAGTCTCTGACTGACACATAGGCATAATTTCAGGCAAATCAAGATTTAAGCTGCCAAAACAATTTAAGCTTGTCAAAACAGACACGTAAAGTAGAGTGAGTGATCGCTAAGTCCACTAAAGGGTAAGTTTGGTAACTGATCTCTCAATTCTAAGAATAGGATGATCAGATTTTTTTTTTCTCTATACCATCTGACGAATAATATGGTGTGCACAATTTGATTCAGTCATAAAAAAAAAAAAACAATGTATAACTAGCTGCAGGGTGCTTGTACTTTAGTCCCCCTTTTCTAGCACTAGACAAAGTGATACATTTTTGTATCACGATATATTGAATTTCAATGTATTGTCCCCTCCCTAATCAATATCCATCCACTTGATCCCTCGTCTCATCCTCACCAACTGTAAAAATATGTAAAAAAAGCTACACAGACAGGCTCTGCTAATCACACTGACAGAAGGTGTAACGCTACCGGTGCTGTCAGCATAATGCTGCGGTTTCAGAGAACTGCTGCAGTAATCAAACCAAACTAAATTTGAGCTGCCTTCTCGTCTCAGTTCACTTCTCTGCATTTTTTTGCTCTGCATAATGAACCGTTAGATGTGCAGTGTGTTTATTTATTAGGTACAGTATAGAATCCTTTTTTTCCCTTTGGGAAACCATTATTTTCTATCTAACACTTCCAACCACCTAGCTACTTACATCTCAAACATATTTCTACAACATCCAACTATACCATATGTAATACTGCGAGTCTGTATTAGAATAGCTGTCCTGAGAAATGCTGTATGTCAGGAGTACTTTCTATACATGTACATGTAGCTGAATGTATGTGTAAAAATCAAGTGAAACATACCAGTATGTGTTAATGTGTCATTCACACATCTGAACACCACCACTGACCTCTTGGTGTTGTCGTGCAGAGTCCAAGTTCAGCTGGCCATCAGGGCCAATGCTCTCAGACAGCAGTGCCTCTGTGTCAGTCAGCCACTGGCTCAGGTCATTCATGTCACAGTGGAACTGCCTCCACTCCTCTATGGCACGGTCAAAGCTCCTGCACAAGATACACACACGTCATGCCCTTGTTAATGATAGTTTACAAAACTAAGGAATGCTTGAAACATCAATTCAAAGAAGGGGGAGGACTGATACAGGAGCATGTTATCAGCCTTTTCCAAATTCAATATGACCATTTTAGGACTGATACAGGAGCATGTTATCAGCTTTTTCCAAATTCAATATTTGACCATTTCGTTAAAAATTGAAAAGAAAAAAGAAAATAAGATTGATGCAGACCTGTTTGATCTATTTGTGCAAAAGTCACCATTAGCTTTGCTGTTTTAGCAAGGTTGCAATGATAATTTATATTTATTTCTCAGTCTGTTTATTAAGAAAATACATAAAAAATGTACACAATATTAAAAAACACAAACATTTCAGAACAAAGTGGCTTCTAGTGTCCAACATCAGTATTTAGTGTGACCTCCTTTTGCACTTAGCACAGCTTGAATTGTTTTGGGAAAATGTCTGGAAACCCTCCACCGTGTTTCACTGAAGGCTGCGAGCACTCATTCCTGCACTTCTCTCCATCTCTTCTTCTCCTCATAGACTGGCAGCAACCGGACCCAAACATGTCAAACTTCGACTCATCACTCCATAAGACTTTTCCACTGATCTTTACTCCTGTCTTTGTGAGGTTTTGCACATCTCAGCCTTTTCTCCCTGTCCCGCGTCTGAAAAGGAGGTTTCTCAGCTGCTGTCCCGGCACAAAGGCAGCTCTTGATCAGACTTCTTTGGACTGTGGCAGGACCAACTTGGCATTCTGATGAAGCTGCCAGATGCTGAGCCAGATCCTTGCTGGATTTCTTCCAAAGAAGAAACTCTGAAAAATGTTGGCAGTTTTCTTGGTCTTCCACTCCTGTTTTTGTCCCTGACCTCTCCAGGTTCTTCATATTGTTTAGAACAGCTTGAATATTACATCTGGAGTATCCAGTTTGTTTGCCAATTTATCATATCCTAAGATAGTTTAAACAACAAATCTAATGGAGGCCAAAGACTTTTGCATAGTACTGTTTGTCATTGTTGGAAGTATGTCAAATGTACAGTAACATGATTTGTATTGTTGGAGCATTTTCCTCACTTTGTTGCTCTGTTTAACCTGAGCCAGCTTGATAAAATTGGGTGACAAATGAAGGTTTTCTGGTCTCCGGGGATAAAACCGTGGTCATCAACTGGGAAATTTAATGAATTCTGATAAGGAAAAATGGAAGAGTTGACCTCTATTAAACACTAAAAATGTCATAACCATCAGGAAGTCCTGACAACACTGGAAGGTTCACAGAAACACAATTGAATAAATCAACAAAGAGGCTGATTACTTAAAATGGCTATTACAAAAAACAGCTCTTTATCGCATTTATGGTCTGCATGAGGGCTATCTCCTCTTACAGCACAGTTTGGTGCAGAACAAATCTTATCAGAGAGACAAGGTGAGGAAATGAATTTTGGATGAGCAATTTTACAAAATATACTCCACTCTGTTTTTTATTGATGTCCTGAGGTTATTGTGATTACAGACGGAGAGCTTTAGCGTTTGTGGAACCTTTTGTGTGCAACCTTCAAAATTAGTTTACCAGTTTTTTTTTAGCATGTGCATAAACTGCAGTCAGCAAATGATGACTGTTTATGCCCAAGGAATTCTGCTGATGGAAGTCAATGTCACCCAATGTCTGTGTAAGAGTGAGTGAGTGAACAGACAAGAAACTATGCCCAAGGAATTGCTCTCATAGTAATCAAGGTCAGTGTGTGTGTGTTTAGGTGTGTCTGTGTATGAGAACTGGATTTTGTGCCATGGTCTGTCTATCTGTTCCTGTTGTCTCTTGACAAGTACACAGCTGATGTTTAATGTCCCTGCAGCATCGACCAAATATCCTGACACACACATTCATATCTGAAAACAGCAGCTTCACTTCTCTTCCCTGCTGCAACAGTTTCTGTGCAAGACTTATTCAAGTTCAATTCAACACATTCGTTTTGTCTAATGAGGGTAAGTACTAAATGTAAGTAATATAAGTTCGTACACACACCCCTTGCGTTGGTTGTACATTCGGTTGAGGCGGTCCCACTTGGCATTGAGCTGCGTGAGCGCATCTCCAACCTGTGCCACTTCTGCAGGTGAGGCATCCCGAATGGCATCAGGCTGGCGCTCATGGATCCCTGTAATCTGCTCGCCAAGACACTCCAGGCTGTCTTTAATGTTCTGTAAAAACACAAATGAACATTAAATAAAAATGGACAGCAAAACAATTGAGGGAGAAAGCTTGATATTCAAACAGTCGCTAAAACTGCAATACTTTAACTATAATTCTGGCAGCTGATAAAAGAAACACTTGAGATCAATTTTAACTCCAGATTTAAACCCTACAAAAATGTTTCTTCACTTTTCTGTTTTTTATAACAGCTATACAAATGCAAATACAATCAAATATCACAAATTTTTTGTGACGTGTTTACAATTTTGGATACAATAGGTGGGTAAACAAGTGACGACGCACCCTCAGTGTGTCCTCCTGGGTGGAGAAGTCTTCATAGAGCCCCCTGCTGAGCTCAGAGGAGTTCAGAAGCAATTCATTATCAGCCATGGCCAGAAGCAATTTACTGATGTCCAACAGGTAGTCAGAAGGACTCAGTGAAGAAACACTGCTATGCTGCACCACAGATACCTCCCTCATCTGTTCTGGGAAGATGTGAGAAGATGACGACTCCACAGACGCCCCTACTTGCCTGATTCGTAGCACCCTCAGTTCCTAAAGCAGGCAGACCCATAAACACAAGTTAGCCTGGCTGCATCAGTGCAGAGAGAGAGACACATTTTCCTTGGCAAGAAAACATTCCAATGTGAATGGGGCTTAACAGAGAAAACATATTTTTATACGCTTCTCACCCTGTGAGCAGAATATTGGCTTTGCAGCCGGAGCAGCAGAAGTCTCAACTCCTCCCTCTGGCCCTCATCTGAAGTTTGCTGGAACAGCTCTTCTCCTCTTCTCAGTAGGTCTTCAACACTGGCTTTCTCCTCATCCATCTGGTACAGAGAGACAAAGGTCAAATGATGAGTTCAAGAGCCTGCAATTCAAAATTATTTGGAGAAAGTTTTTTTTCCCACTAACAGCAGTCTTCAGTACATCCTCTCTCTTTCTCCATTCTTCTCAAATGCCATTAAATAGGAACTACTTACACATCAGAAAGTAACATTAGCTGCAAGTTGCTCCTTTGCTAAACAAGCAACAACTTACTCAAAGTAGAAATGCTGCTTACACTTCTCAGGAAAATACAGTTTAAAATACACGAAGAGCTTCCTCACTGGTACACTGACCTTGCTTTGGATTGGTCAGATTTTTTTTTCAGCTGTTTGTTCAGCGCCATAAACCTTGATAACAAAGAGTCAGTTCCAGATTTGTTAGAGGTCTTGACATGCCCAATCAAAGCTTGTCTTATCAGGTGCCAGCTTTATATAGCCTGCAGCCCAACATATTCTTCATAAAAGAATCTCATAAAACTTCAGGATTAGAGACAGAGAAAGAGAATAAAAGGCAACCTAGGGCAATTTTCTGTCTGTGCTTTCAAATTCCTTTGGAAATTGCTAGAGATGGCAAACATTAATAGAAACTTTTGACCACATTGCCTGTTGCTTCCCCAACAATACTACCGTATTTAGAGCTCCAACTTGCATACCTTATCATCATCCAGGACACTGACTGGGTCCTTTTGCTGCTGCAGAGCCCTCAGTGTGTCCTGGAGTTGTGTCTGAAGATCCGTCACCTCACTTGGGACCAGAGCCTCAGCATCACCAGTCTGACGCTGTGCTGGGATCTCCTGGCTGTGAATGATCTGATGATCAAAAACAAAAACACACCTCAGGTAACTCCATTAGAGCCAGCAAGATACAGTAAATATAATTATCTGACTGCATGCTCAAAGAGAATGTTCAGCTGCATAGAGTGTGGGATGCTACACTGACTCCACACTGAGCATTGCTGTGTTTTTCTATAAAAACTATTGGAGGCTATTTCAGGCAGCGCAGTCAATATAAGCTTTTAATATGACAGTTAACCTTCTTGGAATTAATTACACTGAGCTTTTTATTGGTAAGTATGAAGAAGAAGACGAAGAAGAACCTCTGTCTGTTTGTATGTTGCTAATGTTAATTTGCAAACAATTTGTGCTTTTGTACCTTAGCAGTTTTGATTGCCTGGGAGACTTTGTCAAAGTTGCTGGTGAGCTCAGATAGTTTGGGTTCCATCACGTCTCGGCAAGCGGGCCCCCTGCTGGTCATGAGGATGGTAGCCTGGTCCCTTACGTTGTCAACACGCAGGCTGATGTCTTCCAGCTCCTCCAACATGCTCTGAGGGCAGACCACAGAGTAGACGGTCATCTAGTTATCAGTCATTACCTAAGGCTGGATGGCACTGTAGTGTTGAAATACTAGACAGCTCAGCACTGCATGTCAAGGCTAGGAGGCCAGGGACCAGCTGATATTTAGTGGAGACCTCCAGTTGTCATGGTGAGAGACAGGGATGCATTAAGAATGTAATAACTGCTAGATAAATTATTTGACACTGGCATAAAAGGGTCAGCTTCACCTCTTTCCTAATTTTCCTATTCACTGAGCTTCTTTCCCATGCTCCAACAAACCTCTCTCCTGTCCCTACCCTGACTATCTCTCCCTATTTTTCCCCCATTTGGAGGCGCATGATGAAGATGCAGCAGGCGACAATCCAAAATGGTACATTTAGAAATGACTGCTCATTACTTTGCTGATCCATTTGTGTGGAAATGCATTGAAATCTCTGTGTTCCAAAAGGCAACAGAAAGGGCATTTAGTGATGGATTGTAGGAGAGTGCATTTCCCCACCAGTGGCAGTGATTTCCATAAAGTAATTCTAACCTACCATTAGATACTTTAAGGATTATCGTGGTATAAGCTCTGCCAGCTCTTACCTATTTTTTCAGACTTTACAGTCAGTTAAAGATGGGATTTATTAAAAAGTTTAATAGCAGGCAAAAACACAAACTAGTAACCTCACAATTTAATTGTCCTTTATGTAATGTGTGCACTGTATCCACACTTCAGGGCCATTCTCCCTTTATTTTCCAGGTGGATCTGGGTCTGGTAGAGCCAGGTGCTGATATGAGCCAAGTTCTCATCTAAAATTTCCACCTCATTCTGGTGACTCTATACAGAAACAAAGAAAAACAAAGGCTCTGTTTTGATTAGGACATAAAGGATTTTTATTGCAGGTTTAAGGTCCTCCTGTGTTTTCCTATTTTCTACTTACTTAAAATAAAGGCATTTGATTGATTCTTAGAGTAGTCTGCAACCTCTACATAAGTTGCTGCAGAGCATAATTACAAGAAAAATATTTCTCAGTTTCTTTGTTCAAAACTTTTTTTGTTGCAAAGGTGATTTCCATGTCTTGGTTTCGTTCTTGAGTTTAAGTTTATTTTCTGCCTCACTACTGCAATCACTTAACCTACAGTGCACAGCATAATGAGCAAATGTTTTATATGGGGTGTAAATCTTTCAAAGAAATAATCTTGTAATGCCATTTTTTTTAATCTTTCCAAGGACAGGAAAACAACTTTCACATAATATGAACTCTATCATTTTAAAACTCACCATATGTACTTACATTTTTTTCCAGCACACTTGCTGTGCATGTATTATAAATGCAGGAATACTTGATATTATTCAGAAAAATAGCATGCTAAAAGGCACAGCTAAGACAAAAATACATTTACTCACTCAAGAATAGCTTTGGCCACTTGGAAACGGTGCCTATAAATCTTACAGCAGGTGAGAGAATCTACATATTCAAAGAACATAAAATAAAGAACACAGTGACTCTTTACTGGCTGAGCCTTACTGTGTAAAATATTTGCTCTCACCAGCACAGCACTAAGCCAGTCCTCAGTCAAGGTGCGAACGCGTCCCCATGCCTCATTGAGGCCACAGAGCTTGTCTTCTAGCTGAGCCTCACTGCCCTCCACCAGAGTCTGTAGCCCAGCGCTGGTCTCCGTCAGGCCCGACAGGTCCACCTTACGACGCTCCGACTCCTTCAGCAGGCCCTGGTGGCGGGAGACACGCACACACAAATCAGGCATAAAACAAATTCATGTGATGACCTCCATGTCTCAGTAATTTTATTGTCATACCAGCTAGCTCTAGTACCCAGCTAGCTGTGGTACCCTCAAAAACAAGGCATGCATTTAATGTAATATAAACCAAAAAGACAGTCTGACCTGAAGCCAGAATAAACATAAATATGCTAAACTGCATTTATGTTAAACCTTTCAAAATAAGATACAACTTTAAAAACATAACGAACAAAAAAGTGCATTTGAAAAGATATGCCAGTTTTATGCAGTGCCACTGATGACTTGGTGCAAACTCGCAACTCATTTAAAATTCTCTCCATTAACTTTACAGAAGTTTTATACTTTTGCTGCATCTTTTGAGCAAAGGGGTAAAAAAAAAATGCTGCTTAAGTGTGTGGGGTCATATAAAAATTTCATTACTTTGCACTGAATTGGTGTCAGGGAGAAAGGTGTGATTTATAAAAACACCCATTAACATTCTGCACACTTTTTCCATTGTAAGGGTGAATGTGGATTAAATCACAACTTTTTAATGCTGAGGAATCCTCAGTTGCCCTCTCTTCATAGGGCTAATACAGTAAATCACCAGTACCAGAAAGACAGAGGCTGTGTTCATCAAACAGTCCTTCTGCTCCATCTGCTGGACTGAGACAGCAGCACTAATTTGCTCTTGCTCAACAGAATTTATGAAAGGTTCTGGACAGCTACTCACATTAGCCCATGCAATTTCAGCATCAATGTCAGCTGGCATGTCTCCACAGCGGTTCTTCTGCTGGAGCTGGGCCTCGTTTGCAGTCAGCCACTCCTGCAGGGCAGTACTATCCTTCTGGAACTTCTGAGAAAGAGACAAGGCTTTTTCCAGGTCCTGCTTGCCTTCTGTTACCTAAAGAGAATGAAAGCAATGGCGTTTCAAACTGGTTTCAGAGATACTGAATATTACTTATAATCCAAGATGAGCTGTGTTGTGTAGAACATGGAGATCTCATCAGCTGTAATAATTCCTCAGAATTACTTACCTGTGCCCCCAAGTCATTATAGAGCAATTTGAGAGCTGTAAGCTGCTCATCCATGGCCTTGGGGTTCTCCGTCTGCTGTTTCTGCACAATCTGACGGCCCGTTTTTATCACTGTCTCCACCTCCAGCTTCACCTCACTCAGCAACTTGTATAATTTCTATATAATGCAAAGAAGGGAAATGGGTAGTGAGTGAGAAAGCAGAAATCTTTGTTTATATATTCTATATTTACTTTAAACATATAACAGAAAGAGTGATAAGAAAGCTCTTACCATGCATCCAGTGAGGTGGGACTGGATTTTTTCAGGCTCCACATCCCTGACATCCAGAATGTGCAACTCAGCCTTGGCTCCGTCCAGGACCCTCTTACAGTCCAACATGCGCTGCTCAAAGTTAGCAGGCTTCTGGAACAGCTGGTACTTTGTGGAGATCTCCCTCAGCTTCCTCTGCAGTGACCAGTGGGAGAAGTTAAGAATTTATACATCACAACACACTACTTCACTCACTGTGGTGACATTATTATCTATTTATACTGTATGTTAAAAACAATGCTTAAAAATATGAAAATGAGAAGCTTTTAATACAACTTAAGCTTTAAAAACTTTTAAATAAAGGCTTATGTAAATATGACAACAACTCTGACATTATCAGTCAGTAAAATTAGTCTGACACTTCATATTTATGCATATAAAAAAAAAGTATGACCCTTGCTTTATTAAAGCCATATGATCATGTAAGTGGCGGAAGCAGAAACCTGCCTGACATCAGTCAACAGTTGCTGATGTTTTCCAGTAGGAGTCGGTGTTACCTGTAGCTGGTCCAGCATGGTCCCACCACGGGCAGCCTTGCCATCAGCAGTGGCTGGAGGCAGGTTGGCCACGTTCCTCCTCCTCATCTCCTCCACCGTTACCTCATGGGCTGCAATCTCTGCCCCGATGGTCTGAAGGAAAGGTGGCAATGAACATCACGAGTGTGACATGCATATCCTACTACATGTGTATTGATGCATTGATTAGGTTAAGAACAAGTGTAATTTTTAGGGTGTGCTTCAGAGTAATGACTGCTGCTATATATTATTTGGGCTTATAGCAAGGGGGTGACACACACTATGCAGGAAGCTCCCTCCATTCCCAAATGTTACATCTTGTGTGGATCAATTTTCTGTGTGTCAGTGTGTGTGGTGTGTTCATGTGCCCTGTACTTGAGCCTCCTGTGGGAACTGAAAGGCGTCTATGCGATCAGTGAGGTAGGAGGTGAGCGTGTGGTCCAGCTGGCACAGAGACTCCTGCAACGACTGGAGCGCCAGTCCGTTCTCCTTCAGTGTCTGCAGCTGCTGCTCGAGGCTGATCTGCCGGTTCACCGCCTGGATGAAAATGCAGACAGCAAGCCATGAATTTGATCATTTCTTATCAATGTCTTTTTATGTACTCAGTTATTCTGCTGATAGTAGGACTTAATATAACGGAATATAAACAGCTCATCTCCAATACATCTTGTTTTTGTTGCTCAAAACTAGATGTGACAACATATTAAGACATACTCCTTAATATAGCAAAAAATATGAGGGAGATTACCAAATACTTATGGTTAGAAAAACACCATATACCAAGTGCACAATAATGAATAAACTCTACATTCATAAAATACGCTGAAAAACTATATAGATATTTGAGTACTATTAATACCAATAAAATAAACTACAAAGGTGGATGAATGTGTTGGGTATCATTATAATATATACATAAAAATCTCAATACATAATACAGTCCATGAATACATTTGGGACAAATGACTCACTGGCCTATTGGCAAATTATACTGTATATTTAAAAACAAATGAAAACAGTGACAGAAGAATGTATAGTCTAAATCTATTGAAAAGAAAACCAAGCAGAACTTACAAAGAATACCTTTGCTATAAAGTAACAAATACAGACAGCCACACACACATTTGATTACACACAAAGACAAGGTCCTGACCTGGTGGTTAAGCTGCTCATAACGAGAATTGAAGGCCTCTAGCTTTTCACTGATGAGATCATCCAGTATACCCCCATCAATCAGCGTCTGACCCAGCTCTCTGATTTGTGTACGGTTGTCCCCGGGGTGGCGAAGTACACTCTCCAATGACTGGTGGTTGGAAAGATGAGAGATGAAAAGGGTACATTTCTGAGCAAAGAATCAGAAAAATCAAGTAAAAAGGAAAGGAAGTGGACAAGAGTTGATCGAATTCCCAGATAACAATAAAACAGTCCTTTGACAAAGCTGCAAAAAAGACGAAAAAATGCAACTGCCATATAGTTCCAAAAAAATTTCCGCCACAGAAACCAAAAAGGTGAGGAGTAGTGAGAAAAGCTAGACTCAAGAAACACAATCAATGAGGGAGGAAAAAAGAAATCTGGAAAATGAGCAAAAAGCTCAATGTGTGTGTGTGTGTGTGTGTGTGTGTGTGTGTGTGTGTGTGTGTGTATGTATGTGTATGAAAGAGAGAAAGAAAACTGAAATGCTGAGCAAATAGATGGATATGCAGAAACTGCTGTGATGGGTGTGTCAGATGGAGGCAAACCGAACGAGAAATGAGAGACAAGTGAGAGAGAGGCTTGTCGAGTGGCAGCACTTGTTTGGATTCAACAGTAATTGTTTATGTGGGGCCATTAAATGCGCTTCTCGTTCCCTGAGGTAGGGAGAGGGAGTTGCCAGCCTCCCCAGAGGGGTGAGCCTGATTAGGAAACTGGTAGACTGGGCTGGGTGAAAGGTGAGAGAGAAAGAGACAGACTGGGAGAGCAAGCAAGAAAGAAAGACGGACAGAAGAGGAAGGTGAAACACTGTCTTCAAGGGTCTTCAGTTTTCTTCATGACTATGTGATGTTACAGAAGCAGCGCAATGATTAAAGTGAATCTGACAGTGATGCTGCAGGCAGCCTACAAATATAGCAGCAGAAAGTAGAAGATGTCAAAAAAACTGAGGTTATAAATTAAATGTTTTGTTTAATTTGTGGAATTTTCAAACTTCTGCAAACAAATAGGTGCCTTTAATACATTTCTCTGTGCATGTATGCTCAGCACCGACATTTCTGGGTGTCTATCTATCAAGGACTAACCCATCTAAAAAATAATTACATATGTGCAGAAAGTCCGATTCAGTGATAGATGGATTACATTGTGTGTGTATGTCTGTGTGCGCGCACCTCCAGGGCCTCACTGACGGCCTCAGTGCTCTCTGGGAGGTTGTCAGCAGCTTGGAGTTTCTCCTCCACGGTGTTGAGCCAGCTCTGCTCCATGTCCAGGTAGTGAAGCAACTCCATCCAACAGGACCAAACCTCCTACACAGCACACACACAGGAGCACACATCTGAATAGTTATGCACAACCAGAGAAATACAATGTTTCGAAAAAGTGACCATTCTAATGTCTTTGCTTACAATCCTAAAAGACATTAAAAACACAACTCATTTTACCAAAAAAATGTTTAAACATCTTTAACTCAGAATAAACAGTAAAACTCAAAGACAAGATAACTAATGGACTTCAGGCAAAGAGGATACATAAGCACAACTCAGTGATGCATCTAACCTTTACCCTGCAGAGTCTCACAACAGTGCCCCAAACTATGGCTTTACACTAGCACTGGAAACAAGAATCACCAGTGTTTCCTTTGAGCTTCTCTTATTCTTCACATGAATGAGCTCAAAGAAAGTTAAATCACATAAAGCAACATGTCATTCCAAGACTAAACAATGTGTTGCAAGTTGAAAGACAAATTGGGTCATTAGTGTATAAAATTATGAATTATTTTTGTCACAGTGTGCCACAGTGTCTTTTTAAAGAAGAAAACTATTTTAACCTTTAACTCAAAGACAACTTCAATGCACTTTGCCCTGGCACGTTTTCTTTTTCCATCATCTAAAATGACAAACTGTGACACTATGATGCAATTCCATTTTTAAACAATAAAAACACAATCAGCCTTTTCTTACTAAAGCTAGTACAGTTCATTTGTGACAACTATTTGTTTTATTCAGATACAAACAGAAAACTCAGACTCAACAAATGTTCCACACATTACCTCCAGAGTATGACACTTGCTCTTGAAGCGGTCACAGAGCCTGTTGTAGTTGGCTAGTACCCCCTCTAGCTCTGAGGTCAGCTCCCGTTCACTGACTCCAGCAGGGGCTGATGATCTGGGCACCAGTATGTTGATGCTGTCTTTCAGGATCTTTACCTTCACTTCTTTCTGTAGCACATCCTCTTTAGCCCTCTGTGAGAGATGATGATGACAGCAATAGGCAGAGTAGGTTAGACTCGTACTCAAATGAATCACACAACACTTTGTCTCCACATTCCCCCAAAGCTCCCAAATGTTATATTTTTTTAGTGCTGCCTGCACTCCCACCTTCATCTCCTCCAGCGATGCCTCCAGCTCCTCCGGACCCTTATACTCAAAGTCCCTCATGAGAAACTCCTCGTCTACCTGGGCCATCCACTCCTGCATCTCTGCCAAGTCCTTCTTCAGATTCACCTGCCTCTCCTGATTTTCTACCATGTGCTCCTGATAGCTCAGCAGCTGGGGAGAAGCACAAGCCATCAGATTTGTCAAAGTAACACCAGAATAAACTAAGATTGCACTTTATAAATCCTTTTATAGTTGATACTATGCTGATCCTAATTTCCGTAGTTATGTAGCGTGAACTCAATCTGTAAAACTGTACATTACAAATAATATTTGGTTCAGTGCTAGTGACGCTAAAATTTAACTCTTGAAGAGAATTAAGTTATACATGTACATAAAAATTTTTCCTCACCTGTTTACTGAGTGTGTCCCACCTGGCCCGGCACTCATCCAACTTGTCCTGCCCCCACTTAGCCAGTCCTGGGATTGAAGCCTCCTGTATGGCACTCACATTCTCTCCCATCTGCTTCAATGAACCTTCCACAGACTCCATCTCATTCACGTACTCCTAGTTAGCACAAAGAGAAGGGAAAAACAAAGGAATAATACTTTGCAAACATAAAAACTCAATTCAGGTCAATACATAAATAAATACATTTAAAAATCTTTACAGTTCAGAGACTGCTCTTTAAAGAATGACACAGAAATCACAGTACAAGTTAAGTAGTAGAGTCATGGTGTTTTTACCATTAGAGTGTCAAAACCCTCTCACCTTGCACTGGTTAAGCTCTTCCTGTAAACTCCCTGTGTCCCCCAAACCTGTTGCATCATGACACAACAGCTCCTGAACTGCATCCAGCCAACGTTCAGCTTCCAACAAATGCACCTAACAGCAATCAACGATAGTATCCACACCATTAAACAACATTCCGATTTCAAACAGTAAAGACAAGAACATACTATAGGAGTTTCTTTCTTTACATTTGAATGTTTTTGTTTTCCATATCAGTAGTTACATGCACTACCTGATTGTCCTTCATGGTACCCAGAACACACTGCAGTGTTCCTAGCTCTTCACGGGCTCTGGAGGACAGCTGACTCCATCTCTGAAGTTCTGCAGGATCTGAGGCTTGCTGTGTTTGCTCAATCTCTAGACACAGGTCCTGAGGTGAACAACAGTTAATGCTCAAAATGACATATCCAAGCTGTTTGTAGAAATAATACACCACCACAGAAACTCTCACTGCCAGTAAAGGCATTTATGTGAAAATTACACTGAAACATGAACAATAACAATGTTTAACAGTGAGTTATCCCCTTGGAGGAGGGAAGAGGTGGCCCCTAATCTGTCTGCCTGGGGATTTATTGTCAAAGTACAAAAGGCCTGTAACTATTTGTAGCCATCCATTGAAGAAAAAAGGGTTTAAAATTGTGCAACTTGAGATTTTTATCCTAACTGATCCCAATTTTGCACTATTCTAAAATGGTTAAATACTTCATTTTATCAAAAAACCCCTCCAAGTATTTTAATTTTTTTTTTAAGATATTGTACCTTGCAGACTTTACTTGAAAATAAAATGAATTCCTCTATCACGTGTATCCTCAAGGCCCTACAAATGTTTCAGAATAGTGCTGTGTTAAGTACCTTTACACACAGCTTGATACACTCTGGGGACTGTACTGCTAATACCTTTTAATGGAGAAATATAATCGACTATGTTCACATAATTAAAATAAGTCACATTTGTGCATAGCATAATGTGAATCCATTGAAACCTGAAGAAACAATCGGAGGACTGTCACCGTCTGTCATTAGGTTAATTGCTAACTGGACTCAGAGATGTTGTCATGGGACCGTATGCTGTGGTTGTCAAGCTGAGTGACTGGTTGAGCGGCTCCACACTGAGCTGTTAGGAGCTCTGTGCCACATCCATGGGCTCCCTGCCTAGAATGTGCCAAGTCCCTGGCCCCCTCCCCAGCACTATGCTCTATCTGCCACAATAACAAGAGCTCAAACTGAGCTGCATTCCATCGAAGGATGGAGGAGGGAAATACACAGTAACACACACAAAACACAACAACACCTTTATCTCAAAACAACATACCAAAGCTCGCACGCACACAAAACACACCCTCTTCCTACTACATAGAGGTTTGACACAGTGCAGAGGGGAGTGACTGGCTGATAAAGGAACCTATTGTGCCCTAGTAAAAAAAAATTGACAGATTACAAGCACGAAGACTCAGAAACAAACGTCACTATTAAGAATGAAATCTTTTTAAACTTCAGAGGGCAGCTGTGTTTCCAGTGAGTCTCCAGATAAACCAGCACAATAACAATCCAAATTAACATAAACGTCTATGAGCATGCAGCTGTCTTTAGTGTTCACTGCATTTTGTTATTTATTTTAACAGTGATTTAACCAGGAATACCTTAACCTGATTAAAAATCTTTCCATCAAAGCATGAGCTGCAGACTGACAAAATAAAAACAAAATATGTACCTAAGATCAAAATTAAACAGCAATATGCATTATAAAATCACAAATGTAACTGCCAATAAAAACAATAATGAAGAAATGACACTGTGAGAATAGTTTGCCAATTTATATAATAGGATTACGAGAAAAGATGGCATCCTACAAACAACAAAGTGGCAACTCAAAGACAATGTAAAATAATACAATAAATAAGTGATTCTAACACTATCTAAAAATAATACATGTGATCACACTCCATCAAAATTTTTGGTCCTGGTTTCCTGTTCTCTAGTAGTTTTCAAGATGCGTGTACCAGATAGATTTAAATAAAACCTGGTGGAAAGCTGACTATGGTTTTCACAGAAAGCTTTGAAATAAGTTACCACTTCCCATGACTATGATCACTCACCTGTGCCCGTTCCACTGCCCCCTCAGTGGTAGGAATGTCTAGTACTCCTTCTCTCAGAGTGGCCAGCCTGGCCTCCAAACCCTCCACCGGGCTCGGTACCATCTGGCTGGCCTCAAGACTAACCAAGGCTGGGGTAAGACAAGCAGGAAAGGGAGATGTGTCAAAAATGGGGGACAAATGACAACATACTAAGATAAGGTATCAAAATGTAATCTTCCATTTTTCACCACAAGAGGGCAGGGAACTGATCTAAGATTTCCCTTTCTGTGCGTGTGTGTTCATGTGTTTTCCAGGCTATAAGAGGGGTGTTTGACAGTGTGTTTCTCAAAGTTTAGTTGTGCTCTCTTAACTCATGCCAAATATATTTTGAATACATTATTAAGCCAAGGTTTAACTGCTACTTACCCACACTGCAAAAAGGGAATACATGAATAACAAAAGTTACATCACACCATTTGTAACTGCTTCAGTCTCATTTATATGAAATCTATCTGTCCCTGTTCCTCTACTTCATTCTGTCTCTCCTCCACTCATCCCCGGTCAGTGTTTTAATTTAATTATCAGGTGATTTAATGCTTACATAATCTGGCTATGTTTATATAAACACAGAGCAGAAATGAGTGTAACTGAGAGAAGGGAAGAGACACAGAGGCCCCAGCAAGAGGCAAACTGCCCTCAAGCAGAAACAAAGTGGTTTTCCTTGGCTTCTATCCAAATCTTCACAGTCATAAAAGCCCAAGAGGCACAGCAAAACAGATGCACGCGCACGTGCACACACACACACCTTTGGTCAGGAGTAAAGACGACCATTCAAGTCTCTCTTTACAGACTCAATTTTGGCCAAGAGCTGTGCACATAAATTCCACAGGTTAAACGGTGGCTGATTTTCAGAGGTGCTTCAGTCACGTCCTCAGGCAGTGGTGGAACTGGCACAAAGTATGATCTTACACTTGACCGCTCACGTATACACTCACACATCTGTGAGCTATTGGGGGCCATATAGGGACATTATCTATCACTTGTGGCCAGCCAAGGATTCATATAAAAGTTAGTGTCAAATTTACACAATCCCTGTGGGACTGAGCTCTGCTGATCTAAGCTATCACTCTTTCAGCCTCCCTATAGACCTGAAAGCTTTGAGCTGAGAGTAAAGGCAGAGTAAATGGGGCTTAAGGAAGTCTCCTGTCCAGTAACTCTGAAATAAGGGGATGTCTCAGCATTGTCAGGTACACTGAAAAGCTAACGGTACTGTTAAAACTAAGGCACCTGCTCAGAGTTTTGCAACAGGTTTCCTCTGCACTGATTTGACAAATTATTTAATATAGTTCAGCAGAAGCACCTTGATTGACTTGTTGTTCTTTGCTCTGTAGCCGCTGCAGTGTGGAGGCATGATGTGCTGACACCAACACTATGTTGTCTCTCAAAGAGGGCACGGCTCCCAGTGACCCTGCCTCTGCAGACACCTGCTCCAGCTGTGGACTCAAGGCAGTGACCTGGACAATTCGGAACTAAGGAAGGCAAGAAAAAAGGGGAAAGTTCACTGATCTGAACGCAGTAAGGTTATCATATAAGGTTATGTATAATTTGTGACACTGCTCTGAACATGGCAGCTGTTAGATATCAATTCACCATATTTTGTGCATCTGACAGTAAATTAGTGTCAAATTGAAAAATCTTAACCCCACACTTCAGGACACAGTGTTTTAGCCACCTGTCTTTCAAAGTGTTTCATCTCTGCTTTGAAACCTGAAATTTTCATGAAAAAGCTGTAAGAGGACTGACAAAACAGTTAAACATGAAGCTCAGGCTGAACGTCACACATTGGAGATGAGAGTGAATATGCACTCAGACCATGATGCTTACCTGACATTCTCTGCTCAGGTTTCTGAGCTGGGCCTCATCACACCTTTCTACAGCTGAAGATGAGTCCAGCCACCGGTCCTGCTCCTTCAGGACCCCATCCATATCTGCCAGCTGTGCAGACACTGCTCTGACCCGGTTCTGGGTGTGAACTTGCTCACGGGCTGCTTGCAGCTCCCTCGCACACACAGCCCACTCAGTTTGGGTCAGGTCTATATCTGCCCTTACTGAGTCCACACACACTCCCTCTACAGAGAGACACAGAGGCCAGCAGATAGGAAGGTTCACATTAAATGCATTTAACCAATAATTAAGCAGATTTTAAGTCGATTTCATTTGATCATTATCATTTAGTCTGAACGTGTCGCTCTGCATTAGTGTAAAAAAGACAACAGCAAAGGTAAAAACACGTGTCACAGAGAAGAGAACACTAGACATGAGGTTGAAAACAAGTTCAGTTCAACAGAAAGTTTGTTTAACAAATCCACTCTAAGCAATGCTGCTCCACTACCCCTCACTGCCCCAAGAACACTAGAAACACAAAAATCTTGAGTACCTCTTCATTTCACTGAGCACTTATGTGAAGCCAGCAACCCTACAGACTGACAGATTTTTACTACTCTGTCCACATACATACGATCTGAGTATTGCCTTCTAAGAATTTTGGCTTGTAAATGCACAAAGAATAGCATGCAGCTGAGAGAAAGTAGTAAAATACTACAAAACCAACAATTTAACAGGGAAATGGAAGAATTTCATTGGTGCCTTTAGTTGTGAGTCTCAGAAATGAAAAATACGGGCAAGAGCACTTCAGGAGCGTTTGACAAAATTTAGATGAGTTTGTTTAAAATAACTATTTGGTTTATTGTGTATAATAATGATCATTTCAGTCAATAAACAAGGACAAACTCCTTTTTCCTTCTTACCTCTCTCTAACTGGTCCAGTAAACCCCGTCCCTCCTGGATCACTTGATTAACAGTGGCTTCCTTTGCTGTAAGGTCCAACTCCAAGCCCTAAAGTCATTGATCAACATGTATTTGAGGTGTAATTTTCAAAACCTGATGTATAATCTAACCTTAACTTTAAGTAGCATCATCAGAAAGTTTACCTTTAGTTTCTCCTGCAGCTCTGGTGTGTCAGGTGTGGTCTCTGGGTGTGTGGAGGCCAGCGCCTGAGCAGACACCTTCCATGTTTCTATCCAGCTCAGCAGGTTAGAAAGCTTTTTTTCAAACCTACAGAACAACAAACACAATGTGTGCATATGTGTCTTTTATTGTTACACATTTCTGGCAAGGGGGGTATAGCCTATCCATGGGTGTCCCCCGTTCTTACATTCGTCTGACTTCTGTATCTGTCTCCACCAGTCGTTTCTTAGGGGGAGCAGGTGGGGCCAGCTCCTGGTCAGTGATAGGTGCAGTCGCACCAACTGATTCCACGACAACCTGTTCTTCCACCTGCATCATCCCAGAGTCCGTCACAGTTTCCATTACCTTAGCAATAAGTTGAGCATCAGTGAAAATGAGAAATCACTTGATAAATGAGTTACAAATAAGCTACAGCATTTTCTTATAAGACTACAGATAAACATAGCAATTCTTACCCTACTAGTCCAATTAGCAAAAAAAACTTTGCTATAGAACTATTGAACTTTTTCTGGAAAACAGTACTTTCATATGCCTTAAAATGTCTCCAGATGTATGTTTAAACAACTCCTGTTGACTGAAGTATATTTTATCAGGGGAGCTTCTTATACTGCATCTTTTTCTGATGATTTAAGTGAAACGTGGATTGTGTAAAGACAAACTTTCAAATTACAGGTGATATCTCCAAAAATTACCAAGCCATCTGAACTGTAGCGCTTGCTGAATTTGGCCTGCATTTTGGGTGACATCATTAAACTGCCTGTGCATTTCGATCAACTCGGGTCAAAAATGGGTGAACATGCACTACACACCTGGAAGGAGCAGTCCTCCAGCTTCTGCACCAGGCTGTCCCACCTATGTGCTAACTCTTCTGTGTCTGCTTCGATCTTGGCTCCTGCTTCAGGGCTCTGCAGTAGGGACACTACATCCTGTCCTGCATCAGATAGCTGGTCCAAAGTCCTCCTCTTCTTTTCCATGTCTTCCTTCAAAATCTAATGGATAACAAATCAATCAGAAAGTACATTAGACATGGAAACCTTGTTGAAATTCACATATTAGATGTAGTTTGTATCTGCTATGAATGTTACTCTACCTTCTAGGAAAGGGTGGAAATTAATTCATTCAATTTAATTTTTAGTATGTATTAATTGCAGCATAGTAAGTACCAAGAACGAGCACTCTACTTACTGCTAATCGGCGCATATTTGTATTCATTTCACTCTGATCTTTAAAGTTGCTGGTCTGTACTTCACTCAAAGCCTCCTCTTTTTCTGCCAGCCACGCTCTGAACAAACTCTGCAGAAGAGGTGAGGAAACGGCATTAACTACTTAGGAAACATTACACACAGAGTCATGATGTTTAGTTTCACTTCAGCAATCAGGTCAAAGTTTAAATTCAAAATCAGATACATTTCCAACTCAAAGAACAGTGTGTTCAGGATTAGGTAAAGATTACAGGGCGAACAATATGGAGAGTTGATCCTAAAGATGAAGTGTTTAACTGGTTCAATTTTAATTTTAATTGGTCATTTAATCAGAAGAGAGAGAAGGAAAACATGCATTCTGTATGTGACCATATGTTTATAAGAGAGAACATGCCAAATGTCCTACCTGATCTGACAGAAGCTGCTGCCATACCATAAAAACATCCTGCAGCTTGTTCCACCTCTCCTCTGTCCAGCGACACACAGCTGCCCAGCGCTCACCCAAAGACTAAATACAAGATAAACACAAAAATTTATCCAAGCAACAATTCCTTGCCCTCTCCTTTTATACAAGAGCTCATAAACATAGAGAAACTGTTAAATTACAGGAACAAAATCCATATAAAAATGTCAGCTGTAGCACAAACAGACTTTGAAGACAATGAACTGCATGTACTGGCTGTTAGAACAACACATTCACAAAGGCTTTCAGGGTGACCACTTACTTGTAGCTGCTCCTCCAGGGCAACAGTGGCACTCTCACCGCTGTTTTCATCCACCACAACTACCATGTGTGTCAGAGAGTTGACCTTCACCTGCTCTGCCTCCAGGTCATTCTGAAGCTCCTGAACGACAATGCGAGTATGAATTCAGTACGGTCACATGTTACCCCATTAAGAGAGCTGGCAGGAAAATTACTCAGCCTTATGGTGATACCACGGAGACCGTGCATGACGCTACAAGATCACATGGCACAATGTGATCACAAGAGCAGTGCACTGGCAATTTCTTTAATTCATACCAATATATCAGCTTAGATAAATTTGAGAAACAAATGTCCATGTTAAATCAGTTACCAATTCTTCACTGAGTGGATTTATGCAAGAGAGTGAACCTTTGAATGAGAAACTGAAACTGTATTTACTTTGTGCTGCTCTATCTGTTCTTTATAGATATCCAGGTCTTTAGCTGCCGGTTCTGTCTCTATCTTTCTGATTCGATCTTCAGTCTGTGTCAGCCAATCAGAAAGCTGCTGCAACTGCTGCTGCTGGAGATCCATCAGGATTTCATGGAGCCTGGAGAGAGAGAAAGAGAGACAGTAAGAAAAGAGAGACAGTTAAAGTTGGACTGTAGGAAGGACATGAAATCTATCAGTTTGTGTGTGCATCTAAAGCATCATAAACCCTGTCTGTGCAGATTCTCAGTCATCCAGGACATAGTAAAATGAAATAACCTTAGAAAAATCAACTGGACTTAGATTTCTAGATCGAATCAATCTAGAACTCTAAGTCCAGTTGAGTTTTCTAAGGTTATTTCATCATAAACCCTGACAATAATTTGGACCTTGGAAGGATCAGCACTGATCATCAGGTGTCACCTTGACATAGCTTACAGCTTTACATGTTATAGGTTGACAGTGACACTAAGAGGAAAAATTACCTCTGCTGGACAATTTGTGGCTCATGATGTGATGACCCTGCACGCTACAATGTCACAAGTCACAGCAGTCCCTGTACGGCAGTCCCCCCAACAGGGTTCAATAAGTTTTGCATGTGAATTTACCTGGCCTGACGGTCCATGCTGGCCACTCGGAGGCTCTCCCACCGGGAGTTGAGAAGGCTCATCTGCTCCCGAATTTCATCCTCTTCTTCCTCCGTCAGGCTTCCCTGGGCAATCAGTTGGTTGCCGGCTTGCAGCACATTACCCACACTGCTCTGGTGTGCTGTCAGCTCCATCATAAAGGCCTTAAGGGGGATGAGGATGAGTAAATGGTCTATACATAAGTTTAATGCAAATCTCCAACTATAAAAGGGTTTCAATTTGAAGTGTCGGTCCTCCTGATAAACAGTGTTAGAATCAACACAATCCTGGACTAAAAACAGGAAAGTCAAGCTAAAGAAAGATTCAGGTTAGTTAGCCTAATATGCAGGTCTAACATTGCTTATATAATCTGGCATTTGGAATCTATACTAACATCTGGATCTATTTCTCTCCCCACCCTCTGACTTCACTTAGTATCACTACCCTGCAGAGGCACTGGGCAGCATCTCGGCATCCTTGTATTAGTGAGTGTTATTGCAATGACACTCAGATGAGCCCTTGATCATAAACTGCAGGGCGGACTGCTAAGTGGCCAAATGCACAACAAAAGAGGTAAAAATACATTGAGATGAAATACAGAATCAAGTCTGAGGGAGTCTGGTTGCTTCTCAACTCCTCAGGCCAATAAATTAGGTTATCATCCATTTTGTGAACTGTTTAGTTATGCACCTCTGAGCACAGTGTTTTTGCAAGGTCTTACTAGAGAAGCTGGAGTAAGAATGTGAACAACCAGGCTGAAACCAACCAGACTGATTTCTCTTAGACCTCTGAAAAGCCTGGCTGTCAAAGAGGCTTTGGATTGTGTTGCTGTCAATCTTACCACCAAAGCTTTTTGCTTTGGCCTGGACTGCAAACATTAGAATTCACAAATTCAGCCGAGGGAACCCACCCAGAGCCACTCCACACACAGGCACAGAAACAAACCCTGCAAACTACACCTTCTCAAACAGGCAAGTGAGCTCTGGACCAAGGCATCGAGGAGTGCTGTGTGCCACTGCTATCACCTGAATTCCTAGCATTCCCAAATGCATGAAGCATGTGCTGTTGTTTGTAGGAGGCCTTTATCTGTTGGATAATATGGTGCCTTCAGTCTCAACAATGGATAGTGAGAAATGAAATGGTGCACAAGTGAGACAAATAATATGTCACGAATGTGTCATTGTCTACATTTCTAACTATATATACCGACTATAGGCAAAAGTATAAACACATTTCACAAATATCATCATTATATCATGTTTTCATTGTTTTACAGTGTTAGAAATCTCAAGATACATGTCTATAAGATTGTTTTCCCCTCTGTCTACATGTCCACGTATGCTTGCTTCTCTGCATGACTTTATCAAATTTGCCCGTCTCCACCCACCTCATGTGTGTGGAACTGATCTTTGACCTCTTCTACATCATCTGACACCTCGTCCTGAATCTGTAACGCATCCTCGGCCGACAGGAGCCAGGTCAAAACTTCCTCCAGCGTAGACTGGTAGCTGTCCAAGTCCACTTCCAGCAGGCTGCCCTCCATCTCCCCCTCTGTCTTTGTCAGCATGCTGGGGGTCTCGGGCCGAGGACTGCTGCCCACTTCCTATATTATAATATTAGTAAATGTAAGTACTGGACAAAGCATAATTTTTACAAATAGCATGGAACAAAATGAATGTACTCTTTCATTTCAATGTCAAGAAAAAAATAAGTACTGCTTTGTTCTTTGATATTTCACAATCACATGGCACCACAAGTATGTAAACACAAAAGTGAAAAGCCAAAGCTCTCAGGACTACAGTGCTTAGGAAACAGGGCCATTCCCCAAATGCCCATTTATCCTTTACTCTGAATTCCATCTGCCAGCTGATGGCAATGTTCACAATTTTTAAAATAGAACCGGACATCTAGGAGGGGTATGTGCTGTTGTGAAGCATGCAGGGTGACCTGCTCGGCTAAGAAAATAACTGCAGACCTATTATGGGACGTGTGGGAGGTGCCTCTGGCAAACTGGGCAGGTCAATCCTGATTCTAGTAATAGCACTGAGTTTCAAACACAGAAGTATAGTATGGTAGAGCTTGGCGCACAGTCAGAGAGTGAGCTGGTACTTGAAGGAGAGGAGGCAAAAGAGAATGAGCTTGGGAACAGGCTATGAGGGGGCAGAGAAAGGGGCAGAGTGTGTTTAAATGAGTACAAGATATAAAGTGAAACAAAGAGTTATGAATCCCATTAAACTCAGGCTGTTAAACACAACATGGTCATGTAATGTTCTTACATGAGGCGCTGAACTATTCCAAGTTTCCATTTAGGAAAGCTTGACAGAGCTCATCTAATCTGTTTGGAGCTGAAATGAAAAGGAGATAAAATCTCTGCAGTGGAAGCCATGCAAAGCAAAAAAATGACAGAAATGCTAATGGGTGTGTAGGGACTGGAACAGTAACAAGTGCAATAGACCTTTGTTTTGCAGAAATGTCTGAGTAGCAAATTCAGGAAAAGGTCACCTGCTCAAAATATTCAATGACCTTTTGGATATTTTGAAACAAGTCACAGAAGTAGTGAAAGGCCTCATGTTAGAGCAGTGGAAGCTGGCAGAGACAGTGGGGGTGTGTGTGTGTGAGAGAGAGAGAGAGAGAGAGAGAGAGAGAGAGAGAGAGAGAGAGAGAGAGGAGCACAGCACTGGTCTATTCACTTGAACAACTGTAAAATAGCTGTGGTCTGGCTCAACAGAACATTTTATTATAACCAGATGATTTTTTTCTTCAGCTCAAGTATGTGAGAGAAGTGGGAGCTGGCAGAGAGAGTGGGGGTGTGTGTGTGTGAGAGAGAGAGAGAGAGAGAGAGAGAGAGAGAGAGGAGCACAGCACTGGTCTATTCACTTGAACAACTGTAAAATAGCTGTGGTCTGGCTCAACAGAACATTTTATTATAACCAGATGATTTTTTTCTTCAGCTCAAGTCCTGTATTCATCACTTCTGCAGTTGTGATCCTGAAGCATGTAATATATTAGCATGCATACACCAGGGCACTTATCCCTGATATTCCAACTAAAAAGACAGCAATGCAACAACATTTCAGTACACCTCAAGCTGAAGTAGCCATCCATATTGTCCATGAACCAATACTGTGAACGTCGGGCCAAAGTGGGCAAGCAAACACAGCCATCAGAAACAAAGAGCCTTTATTTTAAGTCCATTCAGTCTCACTACCAGCAGCATTACGCATCACTTCCTATGGGGAGAGAAAGTGTGACAGACAAGCGAACCCCTTGTTGGACCATTCAGAACATTACGTAAAATGACTTTTCCAGCACTGGTTCCAGGAGATGTGAAGTATGTGCCCATGGGCAATAAAAACTTAAGAAGTGGTTTTGGGATTTTTCTGAAAAACCTCTAAAACGAGCTTCCCAGAGCTGTGACTGAAAGAAAGAGCACAATGTACAGTAACTAATACTGTGCATACAGTGTGGCCCTACGTGCACACATATAGTCCAATCAGTCTGATCAAGGTGAGTTTACTTTTTCCTAACTTTGGAGCTACTATAAAATAGAGATCATGAGCAACGAGCTGTGCACAAATTATAACCACATGTTAGCGAAACAGCACAGAAGCCCCTATTAAATCAAGCTGACGCTGAAATGTCAGTGTCAGATGTTAAACTCTGAACAGTATTAGTATGTGTACGTCAGTCACACAGTAAAGCCACCCACGCACCAGCACACAAACATCTTTAATGCTCAAATAACCTTCCCTGTCAGCTCTCTGCATTCCTGTGTTTCCAGCAACATGCAGCTCAGTATGTTGGCTAATGTCAGAGGGATGAGTCACGGCTCAGTTCCCTGTTTGTCTGTGCCTGTTTCACGAGCAGTGCTGAAGAGCATGAAGGAGATGGCTTTTCCACTGTTGGGGTGGTTAAGTCTATCTGGCAACACAGAATGAGATACTTCACACTTATGCTTGTATAAAACAAGGTCTGTGGCTTTCAAACTGAATCTTATCAGAAAGAACAGATCAGCAAAGGTGGACAGGAACACATACAGGAACACTTTTTGTCAGGCCAGCTTTCAGCTGTTTTAACAGGAGCTGAACTATCATGTTTCCATTCATAGACCAACAAAGACACATGGGTTCAAACAGGCAGCCACTGTATGTGATGGTCTACAGCACCGTGTAACTACTGAAATAACTGAGCCACAGGGATTAATGAGTTTGTATTAAGACTGTTTTGTTTTGGGGCACAACGGTACATCTACTCATCAAACATTTGACTGTTGGATGTTGGTTTGGCAGATAAATATTTAATATATAATAATCAAGGGGAGAAAAATTGTATCCTATTCAGACAAATGTATTTTTTTTTTATATTACATAAATGTTTATGTGGTCAACTATACGTCTGGCATCCCCGGGTGCCACAGCAGCCCTTTATAGAAGGTCTAATAAAATCTCGTTGGCATGCACAGAACTTAATTTCAGATATTCTGTCCCATCAGGCAAACTCTGGTAATACACAAGTTAGTCAGAAATCAATTGACAACTAAACAATGCTACTCAGGTTAGCCCTGCCCATATAACACATGGCTAGAATCATAATAATGCAAATGCACAGCCTTTCAGCAAAAAGGCTACAAGACTGCAAATTCTTTATTCTCTACAATTTCTTCACAATCACCAAGATGCTCAAGTCTTAGAAAACAAAGTGCTCAGGTTGGACATTAGTGAATACATTAGTATTCCATGCCACGCTGACATACTGTCTTTTGTTTTTCTCAGATTGTTTGTTGATTAATGCAAAATAAAAATTAAGGCCTATGAGTCGCTATTACTCAAGTTTATCAAAATAAATGGAAAAAAATGTATCTTCAGTTTTTCCCCACTAAAAACAAACTTGACTATTACCTAGGTTTAGACAGGTTCTAAATTGGAACTAGCTCCAGATTCCTTCAAAAAAAAAAATAAAAATCTATTTCTTAAAAGACATACTTTTTAATGCCAGTCAAATTCCTCAAGTTTGATCCTGTTGTGCCTCTGTCCACACTGCTGGTTACCAGCTGTGGAATTTTACATTTGCACATCAAGCAGTATCATCAAGTCTCTGAAAAGCAGATGCATCCATGGAATCCAGTGGGCACCTTTCATGTGAGTACTTTTACAGGTTGTGAGGAAAAAAAAAGTACACTGATTCTCTTTTTGGGCTTGACCAAGGTGTCCAAATCACATGAAATTAAAATCCTGTCTTGTAAACTCCTGTATCATCTCACATGAAATAATAGCTGTAACATACTGTACTGTACATTTTACCTGAGCACTGAGGCCTGGACCTGAGTCCTCGGCCTCCACCTTGAATTTGCGTGGCAGGGTCTCCACTTCTCTGATTGCCTCCATGCTCACATCTTTGGGCAGCACAGCAAACAACGACGTCACGTACATGATGATGGACTTCTTATCTGGTAACTGAACCGCCACGTCTGAAAGAGACAGGGTAAAACAGTGGGAGGGAGACATGCAGGGCAGAAAGAAACAAATTAACCATGAGAGAGGGAGAATAAAGAGGAGGGGAATTGCATTAAGACAACAGCAGCATGGCAGACGGAGTGCCACGTTAGTAGTGACAGGAAGCGATTAGATTGGAAGGAAGGTGAGGGGGGAGAGAACAAGGCAAGATGGGGCTGGTTGTACTGTTTGAACCCAGCTTTGACCAGGTCATGTGTGACTGGCCCTCAGTCATAACATCATAAAAAATGTACCTGAAAAGCTGTATATGCACACAGCCAGTTCATGTGTGATCTTTTGTAACTAATTTGTACATTTTCACAAAAACCTCTTACAGTTATCGTCCAAATAAATGCTTATGTGAACAACATGGGAAAATGTTCAGAATTGAACAGTGCCATCTGTACCTTCAGGATCCAGTAGCCTCTCAATACCCAGCTGGTCTTTGGCAACAGTGAATGCATGGTCAAGTCTTTGCACAGGGCTTAATCTCACAACCTGATCCCAGCTGAAAGCGTTTGGCCTGAAAACACAGAGAAGAGCAGTAATGAGAGCAACAACATGAAGGCAGTACCACTGAGGAGCTTGAGATTTAAGCTTACAGTGTCAGATAATTCAAAGACTACAAAAATCTGAATAAATGTACTCATTCCTCAAAGCACTGGTGCTGTTTGAATTAAGTTTGAATGATAAAAAACAACTTATAACTTGAACTAAACAGAATTTATCTTGTTCATTGATTTTAAAAAGAGCAGTTGTTGTGCAACAGCAAGAATTTATCTTGTTCATTGATTTTAAAGAGAGCAGTTGTTGTACTTAGGTGAAAATTGTGCGTTGTATGTGAAAATAATGCAACAGCTCAGTGGGTGAAGCCTTCTTTTGGACAATAAATTACCTTTTCCTGAGCATGTGTGTATAAAGAAGAGGCCAGCTTGTGTTGAGGCCAGCTGCATGTGGAATGTGTGCATTCCACATGTGTGATCCACCTAAACCATGGCCCAGGTCTAAACCAACACTGGCTGTGTCACAGTTCACAGGCCTGTGTGTGTGTGCATGTCACTAGTAAGGACAAGGGGTTACAGAAAGGGGGAGAAAATGCCCGATACTCCTCTCCCTCTCTTTCACACACACAATACCATATGCACACAAACCAAATGTATGCAGTGACAAGGCAGGCGTAAGTAGAGCAAGTTGAGCAGTGTACATAGACCCAGCAGGCACTGACCTGTCAACCTGACCTTGCGCCACTTACACAGCCTAAGTATCCTCACAATCACTCCCACCATCTTGCACACATGCTGTGTTTTCATCCCTTGCGGGGACTTTACATTGACTTACATTCATTTCCTATAGACTTATCCTAACCTTAACCATAACCACTACTTGCCTAACGCCTAACCCTGGCTCTAACACTTAACCTAACCTCATCCTAACCCTAAACCATGTTGTCACCCTAAAATTCAGTGATTTCCTTGTGGGGACTAGCTTCTGGTCCCCACAAAGATGGCCGAGTCCCCACAGTGTGAGTTTGTTAACAGGTTTCGGTCCTCATGATGTGAGTAATACAAAGGCATACACACACACAAAGATTCACATATTTGCCATTTCTAACTTCCGGGCCTTGGTTTATTGACACCACTTCTCTTTCTTGGTCTGTGGTCAGAGTCAAAGTGCACATGCCAAATCCGTCTCACAGCAATAAATCAAGTTCACAAAAACTGGTATGACACATTACACTATAAATTTGACAAAATGTACCAAAACACAAAAATATTAAAGTTTATTGGTTTCATCAGGTCACTGCAGAAAAATGTGGCCATGACCACATCACCTGATCCAGTAACCCCTACAACAGGGGTGTCAAACTCAATCGCACAGGGAGCCAAAACTCAAAGCACACTTTAGTTTGGGGGCCGAACGGGATAAAAATTTATCGAACAGACTAAAACTGAACATTTTTTGAACATAAATATGATTCGAAACAGACAGGATACAATATTATTCCAAAAAATAAAAAATAAACTTGAACTTAAACTCACCAACCGTATTTCTGCTAAGACTTACATTTGCAAACACCTGCTTTTTGTCTGGACACAAGACATCGCACACTTTCATCATGCAGCTCTTCAGAAACTCTCCCTCGGTAAATGTCTGGGCTGATTTTCTCTCCTGCCACAATAAAACCTTCTTTCACAGCAGCTTCACTGTGTGATTTCGCTTTGGTGAAAATGTCTGCTGTGATGTCAGATTCCTCTTCAACTCCTCTACCTTCTGTAGCTTCTGCTCTGCATTCACGTTTTTCAGCTTGTCCTGATGTCAGTAAACATACACTCAGCCTCCCACCGGTTTTGAAAGGCTCTGTTTTCATAATCAACTTTTCTCTTGGCCATTATTAGGGGCTAGCTTTGACTTGAAATTAGGGTTGCATACATCAACAGACGCTTGATTGAGCTGATGTAATTGACGCAGGAATGATCGCAGGTAGCCTATCGTTCGGTAAGGCAGCTGTTGCACTGCAATATGGGATTTGTAGTTTGTGTGTTATCGGCGCTTCATATTGCCGGGCCATTAAAAAAAAAAAAGATAAATAAGATGATGTCGCGGGCCAGATCTAATTGTACGCTGGGCCGGATGTGGCCCGCGGGCCGCGAGTTTGACACATGTGCCCTAAAATCTATGTTCCCTCCTCACCTGAAGTGGTGCAGGATGCCATTGAAAGCCAGGCCATCAGCCCAGCTAGTGGTGAAGTTCAGCACATTGACGTCTGGGTATGAGCGGGTGCACTGGCGTACCCAGCTCAGTAAGATCTTCTCACTGTTGGTCTGCTGCAGGTTGGACATGACATCCTTCATGATGTCTTTCACCTACACAAATGTGCACATATTAATATGGCTGAAGAAACAAGAGTAAAAACATGTAGCTTTGTACACCATAACCTCTAGAGTCCTGAGCTTTGGAAACCCAAGCTGTGCGGTCCTCATATGAGGACGCAGGGACTCTAGAGGTTAAATCGATTACATTTAATATCGACTAACCCAGTGCTCGGCAGTTTTATGAAATAACAGCAGGTCTGCTATTATAATGCCAGCATGTCTAGCATGCAAAATCGTTATTGTACATACAATAACCAGAGTGACATGAATGTAAACTATAACTAATAAATGAATAATAAATGGTCATTGCCCATACTGGGTCAAATGCAAAAAACCAGTGGATGATAAACATGTTTACATGCATGCATGTGTGCACACCAATGCAGGTTTTCCATCATCTGTATTTTTGATCCCTCTGGAACATCAGTGAACGAAGTTCAGTGAGCAAACATTAATGAGTCTGTGTGTGTATGTGAAGGAAAGAAAGGAGCAGCACATGTGTGTGTTCATGCACCTGCCAGTGAAGGATAATGCTCCAGATGAGACCCAATGTCAGCTTGTGGTTCCCATCCACAATATCTGTCCCTCCTATGTTTACCAGATCCACCTGAAAAAGTGGACAGGCAATGAAAGAGACCCTCATTAAAAATAAATTGTTAATAATGTAAGCCATGTCACAAAGTTCAGTATTAGTTGTAAAATAGAAATGACTCCTGCTTTGAGCACATTAATTGAAAAGCCAACTCGGCTGCACACAATATAAATGTTATAACACACACACACTCAAATCTCAGTGTGTCCACACCGTTACAGCTGAATACTGAACCATGCATTTTCACCACACAGTAGATTATACCACTCTAATTACACTCTTCCCAATGCTACCTTGAAAGCATGTCTGCAGGTTTGTCAGACACTTATTATATGAGGTGAGGCCATGTGTGGTGTGATCACATATAAATATTTTGTGGAGGAACAAGGCACAGTCTGGAACTTGAGGTCAAGTGTCTGGACATGAACTGACCTCTGACCCATCTCTAGTCCCAATTAGCCTCATCCCACAAATCCATCACGTCTGACCTCTGACCCATCTCTAGTCCCAATGAGCCTCATCCCACAAATCCATCGCGTCTCTCTCTCTTCCTTTCTGTGTCTCTGTCTCTCGCACTTAGAAGCTCACACTGACAGTACAACATACTACTGCATCTGTGTGCTTGTTTCCATTCCAAGTTTCCAAACTAGGGCATACTGACCTCTAAACTCAAATTTTCCAAAAACGCTTTTGAAGCAATGAGACTCATCCAGCAACATTCTCTCACACACATTCGAGCTTTGCTTATCAGAAAGCATACATATGTTTTGCACTTCAACACTGGGATAACCACATTTTTCAATGCTGTTGCCACAGCTGTTCTTTATATACAGCTTTATACTCGTGTTAAATGTGCACATAGACTTTTTCCTCTGCTACAACATGATGTCAAAGTCAAGCATATTTCTATGATAAACAAGGTTTCCATACTTAAATGATACACATCAAGTATTTTTATGATACCCGATTATTTAAAATAAATATGTTATGCCTAATTTAATTTTCCCCAGTCAGCAGGCTTTACAGGCTCATGGGAACCCTGGCCCTGACTGCCAGTTTTTGGCTCTGACAGGAGAGAAACCAGCAAACTCCCACTATCACTAATTCCCATGAGTGTGTCCTGCCACTTATCTCCCACTGCTAAGGTCAAGGCATTAAGACCAACCACTGTACACAAAGGAAAACACAGGGTACAAGGTAGACAAAGTGACATATTCAGATAAAAGGCCACAGTAAAACACGCAGTCATTTACACAGTGATACTACTATTAATCAAGCCAGTGCTACTTTGGCTAGAAATGTATACACCTCTGGTAGCATCAAATGTATTGTGCCCAAAGATGATGTGAGTTTTTAGTTCAACAAAAGACAACTGCATCACTTTACTGTTCACTGTAGTTCCCCCTTTCTGACGATACTATGCTGCACTAAAAGTCATGCAGACCCTTTAGCCTTAATGGCACCTGGTTAAGAAGAACTGATTTCGCTAAAAGCATCGACCAAACAGTAGCTGAACAGACCACAGCACCAAATGACATCTGAAAAACAGCAGGTACTCACTTTATTTTGATGCAGGACTTGAAGTACTTTGTTGACGTTGTTGAGAGAGTGTACTCTGGTGGAGCCTCGCTCTCTGGTCTGAGGAGGAAGAGGAAACGTGGCAGAAATCAGGTGACAGTTTGGTCAGTGTTCACTAGGCTACAAGAATGACTGCTAGTTCATAAAATCAGAGATGCATGATGCAATTCATTTGTATAAAATAAGAAATGAATCAAATATTCACTCAATCTTACACAACCCAGATTAGATCAAGGAGTAAAATATACAATGTAAGGCATTCCTATATGAAGTATCGGCATGCCATCACTCAGCAGACAGTTTATCACCATATACAGACTGATTATCCTATCAGCAGTGTCCACAGGCCAACTTACAGTATGGAAAGAATGGCAGGATAAATAGCTGCCAACTGCAAATCCTTTTTAGGCTTTCAGATAGCTCGACCGCTCATTAGCACCCAATTATGGAATTAGTATTGTGGTATCAGAGTCTGCCTGTCAGTGTCTTTGTGCATACATGTTTGTGCCTGTATGTATGGCACAGAGACAGTGGGCACTTACAGCTGCAGGTGCTAGAAAGCAGATAGACTGTTAGAGGTGACGCTGACGTAAAAAAAATACACAAGCAAGCACAAATGTGTCCACGTAAACACACGATTGGTCACTTAAAGTATATAGATTAGGGATGGACACTAAAAATAAAACTTCGTTATCAACTCATTTTTGTGTTTGTTGGGTAACCGATACACAAAATATTAAATTATATCTGCCTAATCTTTGTTGATAAAATCTTTCTAGAGGAAAAAATGGAAATGTCTCACTTATGATAACATTCAAAATGCAGAAACTGGCCAAAGTTCAAACAACATAAAAACATCTATGGAATGAGAGACATAATGTGTTTGCAAAACATCTGGTTTTAATGTGGTTGTTTCTATTCCAGACTCTTTAAAACATCTGCTGAGGCACCCATGAGAGGTTCTAATGTTTGCATTAGATTTAATGCTGGAAGTTCCACGAGGTAACGCATGTGCATGTACTAGCTTGAGGGGATGCAGCCCTAACCCTTCAGCTGCAAAAACAACTCCTATCATTTCATTGCACGCATTAAAAAAAGCTTGTTGGCATCACCACCCTTGTGTTGACAGGTTTGCATAACTGTCCAGATTGATAATATTCACTCACAATATAATCTATATAAGTTTTTTTTTTTCCTGCCACAGCTCAAGTTTCACAAAAAAGACGAGTTTGGAGAGAGCGCCCAAGGCGTCAGATGGTGTTTGCAATGCACATAAGATAAATCAATAGTGCCAAAGTTGAACAAATCTAAAGGTTTTTAAAGGTGTCTGGTCTTAAGTGTTAAAAGCATGTAGCAAGAAGCCTGCAATACTATACACTCATACACAAACTCACCAGAAGAGTGCCAGTGAGACCCTCCAACAGGTCCAGCAGCTTTCTCCCATCCCTCAGGTCAGTGAACATATCTGTGATGGGCATCTTCCCTGTCTGATAGGAGAAGCCAGCACAACTGATAGGTTAGGTGTTGTGAACAATTTCAAGTATACACCAAGGGTGTGCAGCTGCAGCTCAGAAACAATCCAGATGTTGATACAGCTTGTTTATATCGGTGTAAACAATAAAATGTGGTAGCTTACAAATAATTATAAGATTTATTGCCACTGAAAGAAATGTCACAGTGGAGCTAGAGCTCTTTTATTATAAAGGGCTGAGATGCAACCCAGTGCACGTCATTTAACAGAGAACCTGATGCAGCTACTTTAGAGGAAAGAAGAAAAGAAAGTTTGGTGGATTGTAACAACCACAATCATAGACATTTGAAAATGTGAAACCATCAAAAGCAGAGAGAAGAGAAGATCGAAGGAGCTGCACTGAGGAGCTTCAGAGAATAAGTTGGACAGTCTGAATGGTGCAAATATTTAAAGCTCTGTTAGCAAAATCAACCAAACATATTTAACACAGTTCTCTGAGTGATGTGTTTATGACAATGATGACGTATAAAAACAGGGCTACACGCACATAAAGCCATTAGCTCTCTCACGCAAACTGCTGCGGAGTAGAGAAATGGACTCAGATGTGCATTAAATTGTTTAGCTTGCTATTCTAAATGATAGCAATTAGGTTTTGTGTTTTAACAAATGTGAGACATAGTCACTTACTGTCATCTGCTATATAAGTGCAACTAGTTACACAATTACATGTAAACATTAGAGCAGTTTAGTCCCACTCTTCAGTCTGGGACTAAACTGGGACTTTTAGCATTTTCTAGTGTGTGGTCACTAAGTGTAGCAAGTGTCCGTCATCACTTTGAACTGGTCCACAATGCTTTACATTACCTTGGAGAACTGTGAATTTATCCATTTGGTAAAGGTTTTCTTCTGTACTGCATCATGCTCATCTGTGGACCAGAACCAAGAAAGGTGATCAGGTCAGTCTTATAGTGACACCAAAAACCATGTTAACACTCACATGTCTGGAGCCAAGAGGCAAAGTTCACTCTCACACCGATGTGCTGCTAAGTGGTAAATGTAGCTCACCTGACTGCAAATGTGTGCACACCCTTGCTAACTTGTAATGTTACACTGGTGTCTGAATCCAATTGTACAAATATTTCACATTTTCTTCCTGCTGGGCACCCTCCTCCTTCGTTCTTTCCAACATGGCTCTGAAGCCTCACCGTGTGTCAGGCAGAGGGTCAAGTGCTTTGATGTGCCTGGCTGGCTCCTGTAATGGGTCACGCAAAGCCCTGGACTTCACTCAATTACCTTTCAACTTTAGATATGTTCTACAAATTTTGTTGAAATGTATGTTCATTTTCCCCCCCGTCATTCCTGTAGCCTCCTAAATAACAACTTCAAAACATAGCCTAAACTGTCTGTTTCATAGTAGTATACCTGAAAAATGCACTCACATCTGCTTCTAAGCACCAGGAAGTGAACAAAAAGAGTCAAAAGTTATGATCGCCTGCCCCAGCAGTCACTGACTTTGTTGTTTGGGATGTGTGCAGTGGATGTTGAGTATATGTGTAGCTGTTGGCTGGGTGAGAAGGGGCATAAAAACAAGAATGTACTGCAAGAGGAGAACAGAGATGTGAGTGAGAGGGGTGAAGAGGTGAGGGGCTGAGATAAATATTGGTGAAAGGGAGTTTTTCTTTATCCAAGTCAAAATAAAAGGTGTTGTATGCTCTAAATATTCCAAGACCCTCGGAAGGAAATGTGAATTTGGGCTATACAAATTACATAACTTAACAAGAAACAACAGGAAGAAGACCAGACACGGTTTTTGCAATTTCCATTTAATCATGATGCTCCACACCTTATAACTTATCCAGAAATGTCAGGGAATGCAGAAGAGAAGGCAACTGAAAAGTTGGAAAGAGACATCTATATGGGTGAGACTGGTAGGCTGAAACAAATGCAGAAGAGATGAGTACTGGTACACACAAGGGAAGAAAGATTCTCTTATTTAAAAAAAAAAAAAATGTGGAGGCCACCTATCCTTACAGGCTTACTGGCACCCCATGGAGGGCCCCTGAGGTGAGGATGCCCGTGGGCTCAGGCCCCTTGGGTTCAGTATCTTGACAGAACAATACATCCAATTCATAACACGCTACTGTTCCTACTCACCCCAGCACAGGAATGTCTTACTACCGGACGGATCAAAGCAGCAGCAGGGCAGTGTGTGTGTGCGAAAGTGTGTTCAAGAGCACGTGTGAGAGCAAATGAAGAAAAAATGTGCCCTTAGCAAGGTGTGTCTGTATATACATTAGTACACCACTACAAATGTTTGTTCTATTCAATGGAGACCTCTGGTTCAGCTTCACCTGTGTGTAAAAACTTCAAGCTAATGAAGTCACAGGTCCAGTGTGGTGCAAACAAAAAGAATTTACTGTTCAGTACCTTCAATTAAAACATTACTTTCTAACAGCTTATAGTAGGACTCTGAAATACCCATTATTTTTTGGGGTAAACTTGTATCAACAGAGGCATTAAACATATCAAATGGTGGACTCCTATGAAGATAAATTACCTGCCTTCTAGATAATTATGAATGAGGAAATCAGTTAAGCATGGTCTTATTGTGTACAACAATGAGGAAAATGTTGTGTTTTTGATCCTTTTAAAAGAAAAGACTGCTCTTCAGAGCCATCACAGAATGTGCGGTCCAGCTAAAAAGTTCAAATTCAGCTTGGTCTGAATAGCAACAGTCTAGGACTACAGGCAAGCTTTTACTGGTAAACAATATTTATGGGTCACTTGGTCACATGATAGCGATATCAGCCTAGGGAGTAGAAATGAACAAACTGCACTAGCACAGTGAGACAAGAGTCACAAGCACATTTGTTTGCAGAACAAACATCCATACCCTATCAAACAACCAGGCATCACATTTCACATAGCAGAGCCACACACACACACTCATGTGTATTTGTGTAAGCCAACGCACACTGTCACAGATACAGTACATAGGTTACACAGGCAGTGCAGGGTCATGTACAGTAAATGTGCTGAGAAATGTCTCTTCCTCATTAGTCAAACAGGAAGTAGTGATTACATCAAGAGTGATCTCTCAGCTGACTGAAAGCCTCACACATGAAGACCACAGTGCCTTACTAACAAAAAGACAATCTCTCTGACTCTTCTAGTAATTCATGTGACCTCAGACATTTATGTTCACAGCTTTCTGTTAACAAAAGGGCTCCAAAAAAGACAAATGAACTGAAAAACAGCCAGGGCAATAAGTTCTCCCCACTCAAAATGCATTTGGATTCCAGTTCATTTTTCTGAAGTATTCAGATGAGCTATTAAATCATCAGGCTGCTCCTATTTTCTTAACCAACATTACATAACCAAGAGTTATGGCAACTTGGAGGAAGCTGAGAAAAATGAGCTGCAAACACACCTCACAACATGACATCACAACATGACATCACAACATGACATAAGCGGACAAAGGAAAAAAAAAAACCTCATATAAACACGTTTCTCTAAGCAGCCAGCTGGGAACACAAAGCAGGCACATAAGATATACCCAGCATATCCCTCCATCTCACAGGTGAGAAAGCCTGTGGCCACACAGCAGGTAGAATGGGGAAACATGGGGAGGCACTAAGGTGAAAATCAAACAAACCAGCAGGGTTTCCACGGCAGCATCGCACAGTCAACGTGAGAACTCAAAGCTTAGACAAACAGAGATATTTACAAAGTTTAGCCATACCGGTGAGCAGCAATTACCTTGAGGCCAGCTATATTTCACAGCTAAAACCTAACCTTTGACAAAGATTTTCCCGGTTAAGCTTCAGTGTAGCCACTGAATGAACACAGAAAAAAAAAAAAACAACAACCACAGACTTAACCCAGGATCAGCTAAAGAAGTTTAATTGGCAGGATATCAACCTGAATGTGAGTCTGAAGGCTGTCAAGGTCTTTCAAGTCACAAAACAACTTACTTTAATAACACTGAATGCAAAGTACATGCATTTCTCAGGTTCTCTGTGGTGAAAGCACAAGCTCAGCTGTTGGCTGTCTAGTCTTTCAGTAGAGAACAACCCACAGCCTCCTGGAGGGCACTCTTTCCACAGGACACACACAGTCCTGCAACACTATTAGGCTTTCAAATCAACCACTGTATCTCATTCAATGCAAGTGCCCTCTGACAAACTTTCTCCTTTCCTCATATACATACACAAGTCGACACAACTCAATCTGATTTCTGCCACAGAAATGTACTTTATTGTGACTCTGTAGACTGAAGGAATGCACAGAATTCCTATCATTTCTGATGCATTCCTCTCTCCTCCCTGCAGTGGTCACTTGTCTAAGCTTGTCCTAGCCAGCACAGCCTTGTTGACACTCTTCCCTCACCACAATCTGGGTATTTGTAGAGAAATCACTGTGAACGTCTGCAAAGATTAGCCTATATCTCCACTTAGCAGCTTGAAAAACGCCACTGTGGCGTTTGGGAGGTGGTAGGTGCGTGTACTGGTGAGACTAGGGGTTAACAGGAATGGTGAGGTGAGAGCTACTAAAATTTTGTGAAGTCAGAGAAGGCTGGTGAACTGAACAGCAATTCAAGCCACTTCACTACCAAGAGATAAAGCAAGCAAAATGTAAATCACTGCTCAAGCTTGGAAAATGTGTGGGAAATCAGAAAAGACAGGAGAAATTAAGTAAGTGCAAGTGACTGACTCTATCTGGCCAATTCCTCAGAATCCAATCAAACCACTGTTCACTGTTACATGCATTTTAAGTCTAATTACCATTGTTAGATGTTGCCATTAAGTAAAACACTGCTATCCCATTATTTGCCATGCCATTATTTGTATATATGAACTTTGGGTTAATCCTGTAGGATGGTGCCTTTATCAAATGACTACTTAAGCTAGAGAGATGACAGTCCAATTCAAAAAATAATAGCTTGCTTTAATTTAAAAAAATCTCCCTATTTAATGTTTATATACACCTTGATCTAATTGCAGAAGCACATTAAAATAGGCACGGTACAATATACCTAAATTCAAAATGTCACAAAATGTACCATTTACATAATGATATATATTGTGTGATCTCCATACACCAGCATTTTTTGTAAATAATACAGCCTAACAGAACATAAGTCAATATACTGTATCTGGTTGTTCGTTACGTAATCAAATCAGTGCTAGAAAAGGGGAGAAAAAGAGGAATGAAGTACAAGTAAGCCACAGCTAGTCACACATTGTTGTCAAAGAAATTTTAACTGTATTGTGACTGAATCAAATTGTACACACCATATCATGCATCAAATTGTATAAAAAATAAATAAATCACATCATTCCATCCCTATAAAATACACAAAAGTGTGCAGTCTGAGTCTACCACGCCTTACTGTACCACCTGTGATACACCTAGCTAACACGAAGCCATGTGTCACACACCTGTCAAAAGTTCCTACCTCTGAGTTTGAGGCCACGCTCTGCCATGTTTTACCGAAGGCCACCACAATGTTAAACCAAAGAAGAGACAGTCCAAGGGTACCTGTGCAAAAACGAATGTAACATTCCTGCCTGCCTCTCCTCCTCTCTCCTCTGTCTCTGCCACTTCTTGACCAGGGAGGGAGGAAAACGCAGGAAGAATGCAACAGCAGTGAAAGGGTAACAGAGTAGGAGCAGAGCAGGACAGGACAGGGCAGGCCAAGAGTGGGAAGTCATATGCATCGTGGGATAGGGGATGAAGAACAGATAAACACTGTTCGGCACCATTCCTGCATGCAACAGGACAGAATGCAAGTGCCATCACAAGATAGATAAAAGAGACAAAGACCTGGCAGATCAGATCGCTAATGCATACAACAGGACAGCAGTGGAGACTATGTGGTGACGTGAAAGCATCGACTCTTTAATCTGTATTTTCTGCAAAT